CATCTCAGACAGAGACAAGCTCTTCACCTCGAAGTTCTGGAAAACTCTCATCGCGCTCTTAGGAATGAAGCAGAAAATGTCAACCGCATTCCATCCTCAGACCGATGCACAGACAGAACGAATCAACCAGATAATGGAAACTTATCTTCGGTGTTATGTGAACTACAAGCAGGACGACTGGGTGCAACTACTTCCACTCGCTCAGTTTGCATATAACAGCGCGGACCAAGAGACCATTGGAGTATCGCCGTTCTACGCGAATTATGGGCACAATCCCACGGCATACAACCCACCAATAGCCGGTCAGGGTACCGCGCAAGAAGCCATACTACAGGCAGATGAGCTTAAACAGCTCCATGAAGAATTGTCAGCCGATATTCTCTTCATCGCGCAGAGATCTGCGATCTACTACAACAGAAAGCGTAGCATGGGACCAACGCTCAAGGAGGGGGATAAAGTCTACTTACTCAGAAAGAATATCACAACCAAGCGACCAAGTCACAAATTGGATCACAAGAAGCTAGGACCATTCAGGATTGCAAAAGTCAAGGGACCAGTCAATTTCCAGCTAGCTCTTCCAAGGACAATGAACATCCACCCGGTATTCCATATATCCCTCCTCGAACCAGCACCACCAGGAGCACCACCGGCTCCTGTCACCGAAATACAACCAATCAACCCGAACGCCGAGTACGAAGTAGAGACTATTCTCGACTGTCAGTATTCCCACGGCAAGGCAAAATATTTGATCAAGTGGAAAGGGTACCCACAATCGGAAAACACCTGGGAACCCAAGTCTAACCTCCACTGCTCGGGACTCCTCCAGCGGTACCATCGGGAGCATGGGGGACCGCGGCGGAGGGGGAAGGAAAAGAAAGCCCCAACCAGAAGGAGTCGGGCAACCCGGAAAAGGCTTGGGGATCAAGGGTAGGATCCTCGAGGAAGCGGGAGGCTTCCGCCAGGGAAGAAGCGGCTTCTTCCTGACGAGCGGCCTCCGCGCGTTCGGCAGCTTCAGCAGCGTCGAGTTCGTCGAGCGTCTCGACGCCTCGACGGATCATCTCTTTCTCGCGATCATCCAGGAAGCGCTGTTGCTTGCGAAGGCGGAGGATTTTCGCCATCGCCTCTTCCTCCTCGTCACGAAGTTTTTGGCGCTGGCGATCCAGCGAGGACCAGTCGCTCAAGGACGGGAGTTTCGAGGTGTAATTACAAGAGGAGCGCTTCTTGCGAACGCACTCCGAACAGCGAGTGGATTCCTTGGAATCCACCACACAGCGGCGCTTGTGAAGCCGACAAAAATCACAAGGAGACATTTCTTCTGCGTCTTGGGAACGATCGATTCGAAGGGCCAGGGCGATACGTTCAAGTTTCTTGCGGGTCGCCTCAGAGGTCATGATGGAAGAAGAAGACGGCCGTGGGCAGTCGTCGATATTTCCTTTGGCATACTTAAGCGTGGGGACCACGCTAGGCTAGGGAGGGGATAGTGTTACGGACGCTCCTGGGAGCCCGCTGGGTCCCAGGAGGAAATATCCTCAGAGCAGGCGTACTCCTGGGAGTCGGACGGCTCCTAGGAGTAAAGCTCACAGGAACCAATAAGGTCTAAGGAACATGTATCACATAGCATTACATTATAGTAGTATTGCAGGTCACGGTGATCTGGCAGCGGCCTTCCGCGGTCGGGTCACGTGACGGATCCCAGGGGATCCCAAGGGATCCAGTACGACTATGTCGTGAAGGATCCCAAGGGACCTGTGGGATCCAAGGAGAACGAAGGTTCTATATAAGACTGGCACGTCTGCCATTAGATAGGAGCTTCGTGCTCAACTTCAAATAGTATTCTGATACTTAGTAACTGTCTTCCCGTCTACGTGATACACCTACCTCTCGATCATCAGAGATCAACTGCAGCCTTCTGTATTTACAGCGAGTAAATACCGGACAGTTACAAGCTCGCTAAAACGCTGAAAGCCTACCCTACGACTATACCGGATATCCCTGAAACTCAGGGACCTCCCCCTGAACCCCCTACCCCCTCAAACGACTCCCCCGCCAAAAGAGCGACTAAGCTTCTGGAAAAAGGCTATATAGGGCGTGCCTCTAGAGCCCTAATCGACCCTACGCCTCTAGCTCCTAGCACTCCAGAGACGCTAAATACGCTATACTCGAAGCACCCTATAGGGCATAATAACCCCTTCAGTAACGCTAACCCCTCCCCGGGGCAAAATATCACCCCTGAAACGATACGACAGGCTATTCGATCGATTAATAGAGAGAAAGCCCCTGGCCTCAGCGGCTGGACCCGCCCGCTACTTGATATAGCGCTAAATTCGGAAAACTCCCCTGTAACTATAGCGCTTACACACCTAGCGAATATGATTCGACAGGGTACAGCTCCAGGGGTCGACCTCCTATGTGCTTCCCGACTTATAGGCCTTCAGAAGCCTGACGGAGGTGTGCGACCGATCGCTATAGGGGACCTTATTTATAAGGTAGCCCTAAAAGCGATCCTTATCAGCTCCTTCAAGCCGTCTATGCTTCTACCCTGCCAATTAGGCGTTAGCACCCCAGGTGGTGTAGAGCCTATAATCTTCCTCCTTGACGACGCTATTACCGGCCCAAATACCCTAAAAACTCAGCAAATCGCCTCCTTAGACCTTATCAACGCTTATAACCGAATCGGACGAACCTCAATAGCAGCTGCAGTCGCTAAATACGCCCCTACTCTCTATCGGACCGCTAAATGGGCCTATAACCAGCCTTCAGTGCTAGTAACAAACGAAGGCCACACGCTAGCAAGCGCTGAAGGAGTACGCCAAGGAGACCCTATTGCCCCCCTCTTATTCTCTCTAGCGATCCGCCCCCTGCTAGAGCACCTCCAAAAGACCCTACCGAAGGCTACAATTATAGCTTATTTGGACGATATCTATATCCTTAGCCCTGAAACTACAGCACTACTCCCTGTAGTTATAGAAGCCTTCAGGGACTCTCCAGTAGCTCTTAACCGCCAAAAGAGCACCGAAAGCCCTATCTCCCAGTTACAAACCACTGGACTTAAGGCCTTAGGGACCTTTATAGGCCCTGTAGCACACCGCCGAACGTTTCTCCAGGGGAAAATCGACACTCTCGCTACAGCGCTATATACCCTACGAGACCTCCCTAAACAACACGCTACCCTACTCTTACGGGGTAGTATACACCTACTCCTACGACACTTACAGCGCCAATTGTACTCGGAAGACCTACTAGACCTCTGGAGGTTAGCGGACTTACGAATCAAGTACGCTGTACAAGCCCTAATCGCTAGGGAGCCAGGGGAGAAGACTACCCTAATTCGCCAGGCTTTACTCTCTCTTCCAGTGAGAGAGGGAGGCTTAGGGCTCCCTATACACGCCTTATTAGCCCCAGGGCTCTATAGGGCAGCTAAGGAAGCCTCTCGATCGATTCTAGTGGCTATATGCCCTAATCTCTACCCGGAACCCCCTGGACGCCCTGTACCGACAGCCCAAGAGGTCTTCTCTAGCGTTAACCAAGACCTAGAAGAGAAGATTCTACCTACCCTATCAAAACAAGCGCTAAAATCGAAGCTTGAGAACGCTAGCTACCTCGGACGATACTGGCTTAGAACCCTGCCCACGCAAAAACACCACCTTTTAGCGGATTCTACAGTTACCGAAGCACTACGGACTAGGCTCTTACTCCCTGTAAAGCCCCCTATTTCGCCCTGTACCGCCTGTGGAGCCTACCCTCAAATAGGCCACGAAGACACCTGTAGAGGTGCTGAACGACGCTGGATTATACGCCATAACCAGGTTACCCGTGCATTTATTACTACCCTTTCTAGCCGGGAAGACCTTAAAGTGGAATCGGAGCCTACGCCAGCTAGAACGCCTATAGCCCTAGAAAACAGCCAACGACCGGATTTTTCAGTGCTTATAGGTACTTCTAGGCACTATTACGACGTTCAAATAGTAGCAATCAACAAGGATTCAGCACGCGAAGAAGCCTATGCTACGCTATCAGAGGCAGCAAACGCTAAACGGCTTAAATACAGCGACTTAGGCCCTGTATTTCACCCCCTGATCTTCTCGGCAGGAGGCCTAATGGAAGCCGAAACAGCGAAGACCTATAAGGCCCTACAGGGCCTATTAGGGCACTCTAGGGCTAAGTGGTTAGACGGGTATATCGCTAGCACCCTAACTCAGGCTCGAGGAATCGCTGCAACCTCGATCCTAGCACGTAGGTAGCTTATAACACACGCTATACCTACCCTACAGCACACACTACACCTACCCTATAACACACACTACACCTACCCTACGGCACACACGACACCTACCCTACGGCACACACTTCACCTACCCTAAGTAACTCACACTTCACCTACCCTGTGATACACACTCTATCTACCCTATAGTACACACTCTACCGACCCTGCGACTCACACTCTACCTACCCTTTGGTACACACTCTACCTACCCTATGGTACGCACTCTACCTACCCTGCGACTCACACTACACCTACCCTGTGGTACACACTCTACCTACCCTGTGGTATATACTCTGCCTACCCTATGGTACACACTCTACCTACCCTGCGACTCACACTACACCTACCCTGTGGTACACACTCTACCTACCCTGTGGTACATACTCTGCCTACCCTATGGTACACACTCTACCTACCCTGCGACTCACACTACACCTACCCTTTGGTACACACTTTACCTACCCTTTGGCACACACTCTACCTACCCTTTGGTACACACTACGCCTACCCTCTGATACACACTTTACTTACCCTTTGGTACACACTCCACTTACCCTGTATTATCTCCTTCTGTCTTAGTACTCTACCTTCTGTACCCCTGACACCTTCAGGCTCTTACCCTCTGTATTATTAGTATAGTCCTTCTGTATTTCAAGACTATTAGAGAGAGATAAAAACACTCGTCGCAAGCTAGCGTAGTTAGAAACAAATATAACCCAAACCTCAAACCCTAACCCTAACCCCTAAGAGGACGTGATAGTCGTATATGGGACTGGTCATATGAAGTACGATGGCCATTAGACGCCAGTACTGGACTCTGGGCCAGCATTTGAGGGTTTTGAACTTGCAGCTGGAGATTCCGGGCTAGCATTCGAGGATCTGGGACTAACATTCGGGGGCTTTGAACCTGCATTTGGGGACTCCCGGCCGGAATTAGGGAGTTTTGAACCTGCATTCGGGGATCTGGGACTATCGTTTGAGGACTCCCGGCCGGAATTGGGGAGTTTTGAATCTGCATTCGGGGATCTGGGACTATCGTTTGAGGACTCCGGACCAGCATTTGGGGGGTTTGAACCTGCAATCGGGAATCTGGGAGCTGTGTTGGACGTAACTGGATAGGAGACTGTGTGCGAACAGCATGTGTATGGCGTTCTGGCGTAGACTGTAATAGTACTGGCACAGGTGTCTGAGGATTTGTGTCTAAGATAGTGCTAACAGACACTGATGGTGAAGGAACTAAGACAGCTGCCCTTTCAGCTATGTTATTTGATCCGGAAGACGAGACAGGGGGATCGTGTAGAGAAAGGCTCTTCATATAGTCTAGTCTAGCAACAGCTGACGCTGCATAACTATCCTTATCCTCTGGGGTAGTAGTTGAAACTACGGAACTGTTGATAGTACTGATTGATGGCGTCTGTGTTGATGCCTGAGATGCAAGAGTAGCTGCTCTCTTTTCCTGTGCTGCTTGACAGGAGCTTGTATATTCAGTATCCACCAGAGTACGTAGGCCTTGAAGAAAGGTGAGAAGAGCAACCTTCTCAATGCCAGATGTTTTCCACTTTGATATCAACGGCGCTTCTGTTGACAGCTTAGCTAGTGTCATCGACTGCCATATACCAGTGGTTTCGGAATCTTTCTTAGGCTAGAACAGGTATGCTAGCTGCTTTCGACAGGATGAACTTATATACGCAGAGGCGGGCATTGGGAAACGGGTATTTAGCCCATGTATTTTTTTTGGCACCAGAACGAGCCCATTCGTCGATATGCTCTAAAGCAATATGGCTTCTGCTGCCCTTGCGAAATGTGACTGCTTTCGGTGCCTCCGGAGCTACACTGAGCGGTGTACAGAATAAGGGATCGCATATATCACAGCAGCCAGTCTTTGCTAGGCCCTCACGAGCCCCTGGCAGCTTGAACTCGCCCAGTAGCTCAAGGAACGGTATGCGGCGACAACCCTTGTTACAAACAGCATCCCAGAATGAACATCTCCCGCGTCGTTTGACAGCCTCCTCTATAGTCCAGAATGGAACTTCGCCTTTTCGTGGCCTGGTAGGTGCTTGTTGGTCGACAGACGATGCGTTTGAAGCATTCGAGACATGGCTAGCGACACTGAAAGTGTCGCTGATATCACCTGGCGTAAATAACTGCTGAAGTTGGCTGCGCGTGTATGTACGCTGAGACGGAAGCATGTGTTTGTACTGTTTCTTAGCCACTACCTTCTTTTTGGTCTTAGGTTCAGGGAGCTTCTGACCAGACTTGTCCATACCTAAGTGGTCAAAGTACCAATAGGGTAGGAAGATATATCCAACGCTAGAACGTCCAAATCCACGCCCTCCACGTCCAAGACGTTGCCATACCTCAGGTGCTGTATCCTGGAAAGTATCTCCAATAGGAAGCTTTTGTTGGCAGACACGGGTGACATCTGGTACGTTCATCCCCATTCCAAGTGCGGTCGTCGCTACCATAATACGGATTTTGGAGTCTTCCTTTAAGAATTCACTATAGAGTCGATCCTGATCAACAGTAGCTTTTTAAGCAGTATACATACTGATAACTGCAAAGACCGAGGACCTGTGACCAGACGCAGACTTCTTGTTTGTATATTGATATGCTAGCACTTGTGTTCCTGGTGTCCTTCGTGGTAATACAAAAGGGAGCCCCCCTGCCTGAGCTGATTCCACCTGGTCCATAAGGCTTTGGAAATCGTCGTCCCGTAATTCGTCTAACTCGTCGTCTGGTGCTAGAGGCGGTTGAATCGAGTTCTTGGTTTTCATCAAGAGATATTGATGGCCTGCATTCATCATCTCACGAACCTTGGTAATACCATCAACAAAGAAGATAGTCTTCGGGATCCGCTCTGGAGTGATCTCTCCTAAGACTGGATTCACAGCATCGTCGAGCATTGAGTACATCTGGGTATACCCGGCAGTTTTACCTTTTGGAATAGGCTGCACGTTGATGAAAACATCAGGACGGTTGATGGAGGTACGGACGATTGCCGTTTGATAGGGGCCATCCCCAAGACCACGGAAACCGGCCGTAGACAAGATGACTTCTTGAGTCTCATCTGTGACAGTAGCAGAACACCCAAACCACACCATATCCTAGTGAAGTATAGACCGCAGCTCATGGATGAGTGTATATGCCGTGCGAAAGTCTTTCCATTGACGGACCAGATGGCATTCATCAATGGCTACCATTCCTATCTGCTGCTGTAACAGAGGGTCTTCAAGTAACTTGCGAAACTCGTCTGACGAAGCCTGTTCAGGACCTAGGAGAATATGTGTGTACTCTCTATCCTTAATCCGCTGATACATCTCACGGTCTCGGCTTTTAGTCTCTTGAGTCACCAGAAGAGGGCGAGTACACCCGTAGGCCTGCAAATCATGCACTTGTTCGTCACCCAATTTACTGAGAGGACACAGTTGAATTGTAATCTTGTTGGTGAGAATACCGAAAGCATGTAGAATAAGACTCTTTCCATACCCAGTTCCTGCGATGAACAATGTGTCTCCGCGGGAGTAGATAAGACGTCTAAGTACTCTAACTTGATGAGGCTTTAGTATTTTGTTCGAATCGGGGTGCTCGTGTCGTAATATGCGCAAGAGGTACTTCTGAATCACTTCCGGCTGCAATTCAACGTACTCCTCAGTTCTAGCTGATGATACGATAGTGTGGAGGTTGCATAACGACATGTTTTGAATATTAAGGATCTGCTGTTTAAAGCCATATAATTTCCTAGCACTCGGGTTGTCCCCTTCATTAGGAGGACAAGGGACATGCGTATTCAACTTATCCCGGCGAGCCTTGAACCATTTAGAGCTCCTCTTTACTCCAGTCATGGGAGTCCTAGGCTTCCCTTTTGCCATTCTCACTGTAGCCCCTGCAGTAACTTGAAAAGGCTCGGTATGATTTGTGGACTGTAGGTGATTTAGAGGAATAGTAGCACAGACCCGGACGTGTACGACTACTACAGTATACCCCGCTGACCACCTCTCCTAAGGAAATACAGCACTCTGATTCGTCTGGTAACTACCAGTAGGTTGTGGTAGGTAGTAGAAAGTCCTAGTAACTTGTAGTAACAACGTAGGGTCGTAGGTGACGAATTGGAGGACTGAATGGGGCGACGCTGGTAGTGCCTGAAGCGAGAAATCCGAATCGAAAGCACACGCAGCTGAATACCTGATATCTAATGAGCTTTAGAGGAAATAAAAATTGGATAATCTGATAGGGAAATACCTAAAGTATACGATCGATCAAAGAAATCACCGACTTTTACGTGCTATCGCGAAAAATGTCCAAGGAAGTGGACAAAACGCGTGTTGATCTGAGACGGACGCTCGACGAACGCGAAATTTGGACTTAAATCCGACGGGATATGCCTGATATTCCACGACTTTTATTAGAAGCTTTACTGATATCAACAGATAGATCAAGGATCAGTCTACTACCTTTATCCGAGACTTTAATGACAAGATTGTGGTGCAGGTAATGGTTGTTGATTGAAGAGCAATTATCGCCGAAGCCATTCGACGATTGCACCAAAATGCGCCCGAATGACCTCAGACGCTTCGCGAAGAGGCCTCCCAGCTTAGTAATCCTGAACCTACCAAGACTTACCAAGACCTACCGAGCCAATCAGCTTTCTAGTGTGTCTCACCTACTCCGCCACCCCCCAGCCCCTGAGCGAAGTCTGAGAGCTGAGATAAACCCCTTCGACTATTTTCTTGTCACAACCATCGCGCTCTACTCTAAAAGGCAATATTTGAGCTACCTACAGGGTACTGGTACGAGCGCAGGTCACAAGTACTGTCCCCAAGACTCTAAAGCTGAGATAAACCTTGAGCACATGAAAGTCACAAGTCACAAGTCACGAAGTACCGAAGACTAGGTAGGAATGCTGTCCCACAGCGCCTCGGTCCCACAGGTACAGAGTCGTGCAAATCTCGAAAGGGAAATTCTCAGCGGTGTCAGTTGCACTAGTCCACTGAGAATTCCCTTATTCAGTTCCGACGTTTTCCCGCCCCCCCACCAAACAAGAAGCGGGCATCCTCGGCATCGCATTGTCCTAACGGGGCCAGACCCCTCACTCTCTTCACCTGCTCCCCACCACATCACACCCCACCGAAATAACATCTCGAATCTAGAGCTCGGAGCATCACACGCTCACGAAACAGCCCTTGTACCCTCTACAGGCAAGGCAAGGCAAGGCAAGGCAAGGCCAAAGCTCTTAAACCGCACTAGAAACATTTCGACTATACCGGAAAAAACTTGCTCTCATGTCACGATGCGAGCTTCTCCAGGTTCCCTATTGTTCTACGTCTCTCTCCCTCTCATGTCTGGCTAATCACGGTAGACGTAATGTCATAGACCCATACTCTACATGCTACCTATCCACGGCCGGAGAAAAGTATGGGGACACTAGGTTTAAAACGCTGCTTAGGCATGTACTAGTGTACCGCTCGCAGAACGTTTCTGGCAATTTACACCGGTAGGGCAAAAGCTTGCTTTAAAGAGTTTATACTGAGTTATGTCGTGCGGTGGTTGCTCGAATTCTATTTATCACTTCGTCCCCATCATCTGCTTGTAGTTCTGTACTTCAGTCCTTTCATATTTTTCGATCAATCACTTCCTTCTCACATTCGCATCTCGAGTTACGTTTTTCGAACACCGAAGTACGAGCAGCTGTCACACAGAGCACTCAAACCCTAAAAGCTCAAATATCCTCGATCTCGACTTAAAAGTTCCTCATCTTCTTTTTACATCACCCACACATTCTTCACTATGGCCCCTTCAGCAATCAGCGTCTACCCCCAACGCGATGGCGCTGATCTCGAGGAGGTCTCTGACCTGGTAGATGAGATCAATGTCATGAAAGCCGAGATCAAGAAGAAAGAAGCCAAAGCCGCCACCGACGAGAAGGCTCGCTTCGACGTTGAGAAAGACAAGACCCAATTCCGCAACTACCTCGAGAGCAACACCAGAGTTTACGGCCTCTACAAGACCCAGCACGAGAATCAGACCGTGGCATTCAACCGCGAGGTCCGTGAGAAGTTCCGCACCACCACCCGCGCTGAGATGACCGTCTGGGAAGCCATGGAGAAGCTCAACACCTTCATCGACGAGTCTGATCCCGACACTAGCCTCTCCCAGATTGAGCACTTGATCCAGTCTGCTGAGGCTATGCGCAGAGATGGCAAGCCCCGCTGGATGCAAGTCACTGGCCTCGTCCACGATCTCGGAAAGCTTCTCTTCTTCTACGGTGCCAACGGCCAATGGGATGTCGTTGGCGATACCTTCCCTGTCGGCTGTGCCTTCAGTGATCAGATCGTCTATCCTGAGACTATGAAGGGCAACCCAGATTACAACAACCCTGAATACAACACTAAGTACGGTATCTACGAGCCTGAATGTGGTATGGACAACGTCATGCTCTCGTGGGGTCACGACGAGTACTTGTATCATGTCTTCAAGGACCAATCCACCCTTCCTGATGAGGCCCTCGCTATGATCCGCTACCACTCTTTCTACCCATGGCACCAACAAGGTGCTTACGAGTACTTTATGAACGAGAAGGATCATGCAATGCTGGCGGCTGTAAAGGAGTTCAACCCTTATGATCTGTATAGTAAGAGTGACGAGGTTCCCAGTGTTGAAGAACTCAAGGTATGTGGTGTCTTAAACTTCGTTTAGCAAGTCACATAAACTAACTCATTTTCTCACAGCCATACTACCTCGATCTCATCGATGAGTTCTTCCCACAGAAGGTCATCAAGTGGTAGATCAGTCTGTCTTGACCTAGTGAGGTCACAGTCAGATCATGCATATCAAAAATAGGAAGTGAGCAAGGAGTTACAGCGTACAGTGAACTAAGCATCTTAGAAATGAAGATTAAGATCACGCTTCTAGCAGCTAGATCATAGTTTCAGGCAGAGCTAGATATTCACGATTTTTTTTTCTTTTTTAAGCAAGGAACTCTCATATAAGGAATAGAAAGCTCGAATAGGCTAGGATTATATGTCTAGGTAGCTGGTATTAGATATAACATAGGGTGTTCTGATCATGATAGATAATATGATTAATCTTGAATTATGTGATAAACTGATCACGTAGGCAAGGCTGACGTCGCAAGGCTGCGAACCTAAGCGTCGAGGTCATTTAGGTGGAGAGTTATACAGCGAACCTAGGACTAGCCTAGTCGTCCTTTCCGGGCTTCCTGAGTGCTACTGTAACTAACCGCTTAAACCGGCTCAGACAGTGGTGCAGCTGAATAGACCAATTGAAGAGCTTGGTGTATATTAGAGCCAGAATATCTGTTGCGGCCTTTAAGACTCTGTTGGGGATTCCGTCCTCCCCTGGGGCCTTGTCTGGGGGGGCGTCTCTCAGTGCTTCTCGAACTTCCCACTTGTTGATTGGAGTCCATCTCTCCGCTGTCATGGGGTAGTTGTAGAAGTACGTGTCGGTCAGGTCCGCCTCTGGGGGCTGTGAGAAGAAGGTGGCTCTCAGCGCTTCCGCTTTGCCTTCTGTATCTTCCGCCAACTCTCCATTGCTTTTCCTGATATCTGGCGTGAAGGATAGGGCCTTGGTACCCTTTTGTCTTGTCCATCTCGCCAGTGACTATAACCCCTTCTTATCCCGTACACTTGACACCCTTTCTCTGTGAATGTCTCTTTGGGCGACTCGAATCGCTTTCTTTCTAGCTCTCTTAGCTGCTGTGAAATCCCACAGGTCTTGAATAGGACTCCCGACCTTGTTCTATTGTCGCTGAGCTCTCTTAACCTCACCCCTCATCCACTGCCTCTCTACAGGCCTTTGTGAACCGTGGGACTATTCTTTCAGTGTACTCCATCTCTACTGTAGCTGACGTTGCCGCCTGTTGCGTTGCTTCGATCACTCTGTTGGTGATATCGTCAAGTTCTGTGGTTGTGATCACAGCGTCAATTTCAGCTATAAAGGGTAAGAGCTCCTGTAGTGTACTCTGGAAGGTCACCTGATCTATGGTCTTGTAGTCTCGCTGGCGGACTATAGGAGTTCTGGAATAGTTCATTGAGATCACTGTCTCGATCGGCAAGTAGTCTGATGCTATATCTAACTCCGGAACCACTCTGCAGGTAGCTAGCCTGTCTATGAGTTCGACGCTGCACTAGCTAAGGTCAATCGCAGTGCCTCGGAGGTTTGACTGATTATCTGCCCTTAGTCGAGTGACTGTACCTGCTGGTAGGGCTAGTTCGAGGCCATAGTCCGCTATTATACTCCTCACAGTCTCCGCGTGCGTTCTCATGGCGGGGCGGCTGTTTAGTAGTGGCAGGTTTCTAAACCATTCTTCGTGGTACACGTTAAAGTCCCCTACTACTATTTGACTGTTGTCTCGGAATTTCTTGAGGGCAATATCAAGCTCTGGCAGTATGCTCTCCCGGGGTATTCCCTCCCGGACTCCATTTGTATACGGGTCTGACACATTGTGTGGGTTATATACGTTGTATACCGTGATTGTCTTTGTTGTTTTTCCCCTGACTTAACTGTGATATGTGCTAAGCTCAGGTGAGGTCCTCTCCCTGTGATTCGAACAGGGACTGAGCTAGGGTGGATTTTACTGTGGATAAATAAGCTGACCAGTGGTCTCTCAGCGTTAGCTAGGTAGGCCTTGAACTGTCCCTAAGATGAGTTGTGGGTAGCCCTCTTATTATAGTTGTTAAGCCATGGTTCTTGGATTATAATAACGTCGTATTTCCAGGTCTTCTCGTTTCAGAGCAGAAGGTTCATCACATCGTATGACTTCTGCACGTTGTACTGTAGAATAGAGAGTGTTTTGTGGTGGTGTACACTCATTGGCGAGAGTTCTGGGTTTGTTGCCTTGTCACTATGCCTGTAGAGCTTGATGATGATGATACTGATTGAGCCTCCGACGACCCTGTAGTGGAGTTGGTAGAAAAGCTGGACTCTACCTCCTCTAATTCGGCCCCTGATCCTGTCCCTTTTGGGTCGGCCTTATCGACTGTAGCACTCTCAGCGATCAAGCTGTCGATTTCACAGTTAAGGTCCTTATCTCTTCCGGAGTCTATCAGCCTCTGGAGTTTCAGCGGTCCCATGTAGTCCTTGTGAGGCTTCTTTGGGGCCCTTTTGAACTTGCTGTTAGTCTTGGGCCTTGTTACCACTGTGTACCTGTCGCTCAGTTCCCCGTCCTCTGTTGGTTTAACTAGGGAGCTCTAGAGCTTACGAGCCACCGGCTTCAGCATCCTCCTTGGTTCTGGGGCTGGGTCCGGGACCGTTACTTTGGGGGCCAGGGATTCACCGAATACCCCCTCTATGTTCTTTGGCATCTTAAAGCGGATGTGTTGCCTTGAGGTCTTTAGGAGGTTGAAGATCGGTGAGCTCTGGCTTCTGTCTATATCCATAGCGTCCCCTCCAGCAGTCTCCGGTATCAACTCTGGTGTCGTGGCCAGTGTGGTTAGTGCTGGTGTTGCTGGTGAGGGGGGGTCAACTGTCTGCTACCCCTCTCTGATACTGATAGTGTTAGCGTCGGAGTGCTGGGAAACAGTAGCTCCTTTGCTGGCTGTTGCTTTTCCTGTACAGCTCTTTCTATGACCTTCTTCCGCTATTTGCATTCTCTGTAGAATACCGGGTGGTTACCCTTGCAGTTGCTGCACTTGTGGGTGGTAGTGACCTTTGGTTCGGGGTGCTCCTTGGTCTGGTGCTCCTTCGATCCACAGAAACCGCATTTCCTCACAGCCGCACACATGCGTGCTGTGTAGTCGAAGCCGTAGCAGTTGAAGCACTGCACTACCTGAGCTTTTCGGCTGTATTGCTAGGTCGCTTGTTGGGGCGCCCTCCCAAACCATTCTCTGTGCTGCGATGCATGCGTTAGCGATTTCCTTGCTGTATAATTCCACTACTATTGCATTGTGTATCTTCCCCGGCTTTGCCTTTGAGAGCCACTTTACTCTCTTAATAGCGCTTGCCGAGTACAGCAGGTTGGGGTTGTTACAGAACAGCGTGTTGATCGTCTGTTCCTGGTTTATCATGTCCACGCTTTTAATCGGGATACTTGATACTACCACGCCTCATGTCAGTACTATCACTTCCACCCCTTCTCCCAGGAGGCTTTGCCACTCCCTCCCTTGATGGATTAGTCTCTCTGCTACAGCTGCATTCTCAGCGTATATAAAGACGTCTCGACTATGTATCAGCCTCGCCGACTCCACCTATCGTGGCAGGGTGGCTGGGGTCGACGCGGTAGCCCGACTGCTATTGTTGTTGTGGCTGATGCGGTTCCCTAACACGCTAGTGATAGCGATATTAGCCTGCTCGACGATATGCTCGTTCAGCTTGAGCTGGTCTCAGAGCAGTTTCTTTATGGTTTCGCTGTTAACAGCAAGTTGTATCTCCCTTGTAGTGATGCTGTTGATTTAAGAGGCTCTAGCTGTAGACGTAGAAGACACTGTGGCAGCTCCTCTTGCAGTGATTCCGCTGCTGGCCACTGACGTGTATGACTGTCTCCCCTCATGTGCCTGTGGTCCTGTACTCGTAGTGGAATGTGTCTCCCGAGCTGGGGAGTTACCCTTGCTGAGTAGTTTGTGCAGTGATACAGTCTGCTGTTTATGCTAGGCCGCGATGTCTACTTGGAGCTGTTGGACCGCCTTCTAGACTGCGTCCTGCCTGTCTTGTTTCTCTGCTACCTCAAAATAGGTGATGATTGAGTCTAGGAATAAGACTGCTGTTCCATGAGGTATGTCAACCTTGCGTTTGGCTCCTGAGTTGCATGCTGCTTTGAGTTGACGCGCCTCCTTATTGAGGTTTGACGCGTGAATTTTCCTGTCTGCACTCTTCCTGCCCACGACGAGCCAGGGAGAACCTGAAGTCGGTGCTATAGGGGCAAGAAGCCTCTAGGATTCAATTCCCGGGATTTGTTTTGCCGTACAAGGCGTGGTTGTTGAGTTATTTCCAAAAATTAAGTTTGATCAAAAGATGATGAAGCCCCTCCCTATAGCTTGGCCCCTAATTTCACAAAGTACTTTTCAAGGGTAGCCCAGCTGTGAAATTCTGATTTCCACCGAGTCCTTTCCCGGGTAACCAGGTTGTGTATTGTACCCTGTAACCAAGCAAGGCCCGCATTCTGCAACAACAACTAGACTCCTAAGAGGCAACAGGCAAGTTCGAAAGACATCTAAAGGACCGTCGGTCCTCCTCTGCACCTCAGGCTACTTAGGGGCAGCTCCCACAGGTTCTAAGCCATCTGTGGCAAGGCATCATAGGTCTGTTGCTCATGTGCCAGTTGGTAGGTTGCCAAGAGGTCTTCGTCGACGTCGTCATCGTTGTCGATTAGGTCCCAAGGAGCGTCTTCTGTGTGCCGGGAGATATCATAGATGTTCTCCTGCACTACCGGCGCTGGGGGAGGCATGTGGTTATCCCAAACCAGAAAGCGGGCGGTCGGAGTGGAGACGCCATCAGGGCTATCAAAGTAGTCCTGGTTTCCTCCCAGAGAAGAGAACAAATGGCGAAATCCCTCCGGAGTACGCTGGCGGTTTCTGTCCCAGAGAGTACTTGGTTCCCCGGGTTTAGGCGCACGACAGTTCGACTTTTGTGCCCATGGGAGGTACGCTGGGGGTCGTTCTGCAGCGTATTCGGCTTCAGGTGTGATAGGCCGGCTAGGTTCTGTGGAGCCTCCAAACTCAGGCGTTGGCCCGCTACGACGGAGTTGCCAGTCTGGCATAAACTCTCCATCAGGGGTAGGAGCCGCAGGCCCTGGGTCCGGTGTAGGTGTCCTTGGCACTGGTGTGTTACCTGTAAAGCCAGAAGGTCCTTCTCCATTTCCAGTGAGTAAGTTGATACTGACCTGTTGGCGAAGTCCGCGCTGTCGTCCTCTAGAGCTTGAACCACCGTGGGGTGAGGAAGAGCGCGAGATTGGGGACGTAGAGCGTCCTGGAGCCGGAGAAGCTGAGCGAGACGAAGATCGAGTGCTTAGTCGAGGAGTACTTGGGGTGTTGCGAGGGGTATTACGGGAGTTGCCCCTCGGAATGTGTCGTTCCCAAAGGATTGGAGTTCCGTGTTGGTTACTGAGTAATTCAATTTCTGTCCACGGGAATTTCCTCCAGTTTTCGTTTCCAAGAAGATGCTGAATCCACCTAGAGCAGTGCTGTAGGCAGACACCGTCGTTGTTACCCGTGCCGTGACCTACGACGTATAGGCGGGAGGTCGACAAGCTACTCCAGTGAGCGAGACAGTGCTGGATGAACAACTTCTGTCCTGAGAGAAGACCTGATTTGTGCTTCTCGTTTGGAGTAGGAACAATATGGTTTGGGTCGTAGATCACCAGGTATCGGCGCTCGTCAGAAATTACCCCGACCATCCCTACCCAGGCGTGGATAGGATCGAGTTTAGCATCCTTCCCTTAGCCTACCCAGTTACGTTCAGGGGTAGTCCAAAGGGCGATATGGTGTTGCGCCGGTCCGTTGTCTAGGTGTTCAGTGGAGAAGTTGGTGAAAGTAGAGAGCGTTTTGAAGTTTTGCATGTCTCTAGTAGACTTTTCTTTAGCCTTCCTGTTAGTGTGGGCAAAGGGGTATTGAACCAGCCGGAAGTTTGACATGCTTTTCAAGTCGGAGGAGAAGACAGTGTTGTAGCACTCGATGGAGTACATCAGTAGAGACAGATGTCCACTAGTTCCATATAGCCAAAAGAGTCTTGGAGCTCTTCAGGGAACGGTAGGAGTTGCCAGGTGGGATCAATAGCGTTGGCAATAGCTTCATCGCTTTGTAGGAGCCTCCGAAGATGAAACCAGAGGCCACGGTTGTAGTTCTGACTGAAATTAGGCCTGCCAAATGAGTCGTGGGCAGCGTCATCTTGGATATCAGCTTCTCTATTGTAGCGATTGATAGTGTTCCTAGCATAAAGAGCCCTCTGAACCTGGTTCTTTTCAAAGCCGGCTTTTTGATATTGGGCCGTAGTTCTGGCGAAGACGATAGGAGCCATGGTGGAAAGATTCTTATTTAGATCGCTTGATGTGAAGAAAAAGAAGAGGAGCTTGAAGAGATTAAGTGCTTGGAAGATAGGGATAGCCGGGTTGATAGGCCAGGTACGGGCCGTTGTTGTAGCGTGTGGCAGCGGTAAAGGTGCGGGGTTAGATTGCTATAATCCTGGTGGCAGGGAAAGGTGGGTCTGGAAATTTGAACCGCAATTTCTTTGCCCCCACTCGATCAAACCTCCCACCCTTCAAGAGTAACAGCCTTTCGACACAGGTAAATAAAGGACTGCCACTCAAAGCGGCACTGACCGTAGAATGGAGTATGAACGTTCGTTCTGACTAAATCCCTGCGCCAGTCACGTTTAAATAGCGATATCTCTACAACGCGATATGCTATTGACATGATTTTTTGACTAGGAGATGCGGAATAACCTGAAATAATTAATTCTAGAGGTTACAGTTGTGCGACATGTTAAAAAGTAGTTGTGCATAGCTTTGTTGATATGCCAGTGGTACTTGGTGGTTTGCAAAGATGCTTATGCACGTGATTGTTTGACAAGCTGTCAAACAGGAGTGACGTAGTGTAGGCAAGCTGTCACAATGGTAAGCGACTTTGCAAACAACTCCCTCCGACAGGCCAGTCTTACATACTTAATAGCTTTGCACTCCAGCGACAGAATAATTTGAAATCTACATCAAAAGAAAGCTGAGTCTTAGATGTACATGAAGATAATTTTTTTATTACTACATGTGGAGGCACTCAAGTGTTGTGTTTAGTTTAGAGGAATCTACTCTGAGTTGGGGATATCTTCACTTTAGCGAGTTGTGGCTGCAAATTCAGTTGTTTGCTACCTCACTAGCGCCAAGGCAGCAGCTTCACCGCTTTTACGATTATATAAAGGCCTCCCCCCTACTTTTCCAACCTTCTTTCTTTCCTCCTTCAACAACACCTCAACCTTGTAGTCAACTTCCACCTCTACCTGCACCTCCACCTCCCTCTCTTACTACAGCTTCAAACCTTCAGTACTCCCTTCTATATTGTCTCCTACCCTTGCTGTCGTCTAAACAGTATTCCCACGCGTTCAGTACTCACCTTTGCTGTTGAACTCGTCAAACTCCAACCTGTTTCAAGATTCTTCATAACTAAGCACCTCCACCTTCCTCACGTTACTTAAGCTGGCCTGCTTTTAGTTTGCTATCGTCTCCAACTCCAACTTCAACTTCAACTCCAACTCCAACTTCAACTCCAAGTTCAAGAATATCTACAAGTAAGCTCTCTCACCTTCAGTACTTTTGCTTTCTACTTCTCACAGTTCATCTCTCTCTCAGCCCATGTCTCTCCTACTTAGCTTTTCCAGGCTAGTCAGTTGGTGGTTCTCCTCCTCATCTGCTTAGGCTCTTGTGCCGGACAGAGGTGCCAATGGATCTTCTTCAACACTTGATTCTCCCACTGCTCTCTAGCAAATGGTTGACTCTGCTATCAGAAGCCTTGTGTTGTTGCGTCCTGAAGGTAGTGTAAAGAGATGCTGTGCTCTGTGTGTTAACGTCGAGCTGCTCCGTCTTCCTCGCGGTCTCTTTATATTACTAGAAGGCAAGTGAAAGGGTAAAAGCCTCTCGGGAACATTCCTATTCAGCTCTGTTAAGCTGTAAACCACTGACTTGACGGCCTTGGCCTACTTAGGAAGTTCTCTCTCACTTTACTTGTTGATCAAACTGACCACTGTCTAATTCAAGGCCACTTCACCGGCTCCATCGTTCAAGGCCACCTCGCCGGCTCCATAACTATATAACTCAGGGGGAGGATGGGAAATACCTTGGGAGGCTAGGAAATACCTTGGGAGGCTGGGAAATACCTTGGGAGGCTGGGAATTACCTTGGCTATATCTGTTTCGGGAAGTACTCTCTCACATTGCCTCCTGATTAAGCTGACCACTGTTCAAAGCAGCTCCTTCCTCGATCTAAGGCCACTTCGCCGGCTCCCTTCGTTAACAACTCACAAGGCTTGTTTGTAATAACGCTGGAGGTGTCATCTCTTATTGTCCTTTTGCAAGGCACCACGGGTAATCTCAACCTCCCACCACTGCGGAGAGGTTACCTAACCTTGCAGAGGAGTATTGACAGCCTCTTTCGCTGTTACTTGCTAGCCTTGTGAGCTTTATCTGTCTGGCTAAGTATCGTTATTTGCTTTCAACTTACTTGTGTCAAGAACAGCTAACAAGCCTCAGATAGGGTCAGCCTGTGGGACAGGCTTGCGCTGGGGATTAACTGAGTCAGGCTAATCGCACCGTAAGACGCATCGCTGTGACGTGACTGCCCACTGCCCATTGCAACTTCGCCATCGCTATCGCCTTCGCCTTCGCCATCGCCTTCGCCATCCCTATTTGTTATTGTAGTTGTATGCTGACCTTCAAACTTCAATCAGCTTTAGGGGGCAGCCAAGGAGCCTGGTTGCCCAGCAAAGGAGTGGGCCCTCACTCCTCTATGGACCAGCAACACTCGACTTCGACTATGTGGACCAGTTCTATCGACAGCCTAAGTGGTTAGGCGGACTGGTCCTATCCAAGGCTGAACACACTTGAGGCTTTGCTAACATGCTTAGGCACTTATCAATTCTTTAGCAACTCTAACACGATGGCTGCGTTGAGCTTGCTCTCCTTGGGGAGCAGGTGATCCTGTCGAAGTCGTGGCGAGGGAGGGCTACTGCGGTAGTCTGAACAAGCGGAGCTCTGCGCCCCTTTGGTGCTCTGCCGGAACCATCGGAAAGGTGTCAACTAAGTTTGGTGTTGGCCAAGACTGCATCCGACAGTCGTAACCATAATCCTGATACTGGCCTTGGTATGTTGGTTTTGGTAATACCTGCCGCTCCCCTCTTTGCGAATCGGTTCCTTGAAAGGGCTTCTTTCCCACTGTGGATTAGTTCCTTGAGAGAGCTTCCTTACAAAGAGAGGGGAATCAAGTGGTCAATTGGATATCTGTTGCGTCAGGTACCTTTAGACTACTGTTGTGGTTCTTACTCAATCGATTGAACTAATCTACATTATAGAAAGTGCTCTGCAAGCATGATCAAGGTCTCTATCTCGTGAGAGGAAGTTAGGATGCTGAGCAAAACGCTGCAAGTCAAATGGAGACTCAAAGAGTAACCCTCCAAAAGACTTCACGCGCGAGACAGCTACATATGACAGGCCGATAGTAAAGTCCTTCTTGTTAAGGTTCATAACCACCTTCAACGGAGTAAGGCCTTGACTCTTGTGTACTGTCATTGCCCAGCCCAACCGAATAGCAAACTGTGTTCTACTACAGCTCTGCCCTTTCCACATGAATTCCCTCATAACCTCAAAAATTGGTACACATCCTGTTTCTTGAAAAGCTGGGCCATTATAGTCATCCATCTCTACAAGGAGAGCAAATGGACGATCTTTAGATGGATCTGTGCCTTCAGCCCAAACAGTGTCCTTAAGAGTTCCCATAGAACCGTTCACTAGACCTTTTCCAGTCCAGAGGTTGTCTTGTAGCATAATCCGAGCTCCGACAGCAAAAGGCAACTCAGCAGCTAGGTTTTCTGCATCATCCATAGGCGCATTCTTGGCTTGTGGACCTGTGTGAAGGGCGGATATCTTCTTAATCGGCTCACCAAGATCTCTAAGCTGTGTGAGGTTGTAATCTCGCACCTCTGTTCGTGTAGCATAGATGTGGAAGGCATCATCAAACGATGCTCTCTCCTCAGTCGACAGGTTATTGGCAACACGACGGAGTAAGAACTCCCACCCTTCCTCTCTAAGCTGGCCAGTTCGTAATTGATTGAGTGTGTTCTTGAAAGTCCGGGCCTCTTCATCCTCTCCCTCTTGCCATATAACCTTCAAAAGCCGCACTGTGGTTTTGAATAACTGATATGCCATGTGGCCCCGCCAGTGTATATCTTTCCATGGCTTCTAGCCTTTCTCTCCCTGGTGTGGTAGTGAAAACAGCGGCAGTCCAGTGACTGGAGGCAATTGGAAAAAGTCACTAGCAAGGACAATGTTTATGCCCCCAAATGGCGCATCTCTATCCGGAAATATCTCAGTTAAACGCTGCCTAATCTGGGTTAAGAGCTTGAAATTAAGTATAGACTTTTCATCTATAATCAGATATTAAACGTGACGGAACTTTGCTTGTAACTGTGAGACAGTAGCACGAGACAACGGCTGGAACACCTTATTGACAGGGAGATGAAACAGGCTGTGGATGGTGATACCTCTGATGTTATGTGTAGCAACGCTAGTTGGAGCAGCACGAAGTACAGGATTCTCTCTGCTAGCGTGTGTAGCTAGGAGCTGTAAGTGGTAACAAGTCAAAAGGATAGCGTAGGTCTTGCCACTTCCGGCCTCCCCGTCCAAGTGAAGTAGAAGCTGATCAGGATCCTCTTGATCGTTGGCAAGTATATGTGTAAAATGATTGATCAGGGTGTTATAGAACTTCCTCTGCTCCAGATTAAGAGTATCTGGATTCATGTTTCCATTCGCTGGCACTGCAAAGTCGGTAGGATGTAACTCCTTTTGTATTTGCCACTAGTCCATTGAAAGATCTGGACATTTCCTAACATGTGCAGTCTAATCCTTTGCCTTATCAAAAACACGCTCCCTAAGGTCATCGAGATCTTCTCTCACAGAGATATCGTTGTTCGGGCCAGCGGCAGCTATTCCCTCCCAATCTCTTCCTTCTTCGTCTTCTTGACTAGCCCTGATGAGATCAATTTCCGGAATAATCTCCTCTTCAAGGTCAGGATCCTCCTCCCGAGCTCTCTCTAAGGTATCTTCGTAGTAGTCGAATGGGATGTCCTGACCGGCCTCAAAGTGTTCCCACGCCTCTTGATAAGACTTAAACTGGTCAAACTCCTCGTCTGGCATAGCTAAAAGCTGATCTGTCCTAGTGTGAGGCAAATGAAGCCATAGCTTCACACGAAAGAAATCCTCTAATTGATCCTTTTCAGGTGACGTCGAGTACCTTAGCCAGTAGTTAATCAATTGTGGTGCAGCTTTTGGACGCTCCTTCTTTTTGTACCAATCGAAAGAGGTAAGCCACTTGAAGAGCGAGACCTCTAGCAGCTCATCACCGCGACCTAAGTATCTCTCATACAGCGATTGCTGCTTTTTGACCTGGCGGTCCTCCAGAGCTACGCTCACGCTCTGTTCTGTAGAAGGGCGACAGTCTAATGTATAAACAGTACGAGAGGCTTGACATAGCGGTAGCCTAAGAAGGATATGACTGATCTCTTGTGCAGAGTAGTCTCGTTCCCCCACAAGCTTATTGAGAAACTTAGCAACAAAAGACAAACTTGGATTTCGGGCGTTTGTGTACTTAAGAACCTCTACCTTCAGTTCTTTGTACGTGTGAGAAGCTGTCTCTGGCTTAGAACAGTACTTCAGGACATAATCGACGAGACCACGGAAAGTAGTAACTGGCTGAATATCGAGGTTTGCAAGCTAAGCCAGCATAAGAGTTGCCGCATATGGGTTGCAAAATGGCTGATCTCGCTCAGCTGCGAATTGCTAGCGCTTTGGATTCATGTCTCGATACACCTCTGCCTTAGCACGAATCGTACGTGGGTAATAGAATCGGCAAAAATAATTGCTATTCTCGTCCACACGGATACAATAGATTGGCCGACAGCTGTGGTGAGTTTGTACATAGTTTAGAACCGAGATAAGGAAATCCTCAGTGTTCTGGATATCCTTAAGAGGTAAAGAAACAGGCTTCCTCCCATCAGGGTGCCGGGAAGGATTGGAATTCACAGCAGTGATCTTCTCTGCCTAGTATTCCGCGAATATCAGTCTGTTATCTTCGTCCTCGCAAGCTATCGGAGGAGCATTATCTCTGAAAAGACCAGTGCTATCGGCGTCAGGGATAGAATGGGGAACCCAATACACGCCATGGCAGTGTCCTGTACCTCGCATCTGGAATTCGATTCCGTACCAGAAGTCTTCATAGCTAAGGAATGGCTTAAGTACCATATCTTGAAACAGGGTTGTCCGCAGGTGGATATAGTGAGCAATAATATGAGGATTGGACTGTACTATATCACGCACAATCTTCTGCTTTTCTTCCTCTGGTGCGATGCTATATTCATCAAACCGCGGCAAGAGACGCTGCAAATCGTGCTACTGTATATCTGCACAACTAGTAGTCACAAAGACCGCTGAAGAATCGTTGATTGCACGAGCGTGTGTCTCTAGAGAGCTTCTCTTTGATCCCCAAAATGGTGGTGTCCTACGGAGGCATGCACCCTGCCGGACAATCTTTGGTAAGAGACCTTCGAAATTCTCCAGAGCCACTTCTAACTCGTCAAGACTTATACTAGCAAGTTCGGAGTTCTGGTTAACAAAGTATCGGCTTGTAGATATAGCCTTACTTCGTATAAGCTGGTTGAACAAGTAGAATTTGAAGCGAGGATGCTGTCTAAACCGGCTGTCATGAAATCGTAGCAAATGCTGGCCCCAGTCTTGTAGACTAACTGTTCTCCTGCGAGGGTTGTTGAAATCGGCTGCTCCGTACGGAAAGAGTGTTAGGAATGCCATAGCAAAAAGACGCTGAGTTCTCCCAATCTCATCAAGGGGTTGTGTTCTAAATGAGGGTGCTGGAATTGTCCGGGTTTTCTCAATATCCGCGCGGATAGCTGCTACCTCTGGGGTATCCTCTGCTAGATATGGAATAACTATATAGTCTGGAGGAGCTTGTAAGTTGTCGTCGTCCTCTGTGTCTTCATTGTTAACTCGAGGTTGTTGAGATATAGTCGGCTCATGGCTTTCTCTATCCACAGGAGTAGACGTAGGATCTTCAGTCTCCTCAATTCGAGTGATTTGATCAAATATATCACCATCCTCGGGATAGTGTTGTCTCAGTAGGTTATAATCCACAGTGATATCTTTGTAGTCAGGGTGGTTCTCCTTCAAGAACGCAAGCCAAACAGAGAGCTTACGCCGACTAACTTTGAAATCCTTGAGAAACTGGCGCCGAACCTGCTCGTTGCTATTAGCCGGAGCAAGTATAACCACATTAAGCTCAGCAGGTATCAGTGGAACTCTGTTACTAAACTTGACGTGGCTATTCATGAAAGCAACACAATGCCCTGTGTACTTGAACTGGAGACCACGAGCTCGACAGACCTGCATCTGTACATGAGTAGGAGATATGCAGATTTGCTCTATTTGAGAGAGCTCCGGTAGGAATACAGGAATATCCCCTGGGTCTATGTTGTTCTCCTTACTCATGAGATGAGGTAAGATATCAGCCTTGTCGCGCTGGTGACATCGTTAACAAATGTCTTTGGATAGTTTAATATCAATCCACGTTTCCCTACATCGATAACAATGGGTCATTTCAATACCTATTAACTTGGCGTGGAAGTCTGTGACCCTTTTCCAGTTCTCTGGATCAACTGGCCCTCCGTGGGCAGCTGTAGCTAGCCTCTCGACATGTTCCTGGGTCATCTGCCCCTGCAACGGAATATCTGCATAGTCGTGATCAGCGTCATTGAGATTGTAGTCGAAATCAAAGCTTTGTCTTGCTAGAGGAGGAGAAGATTGCAAGAAGGATTGTTGTGTTAACGAAGGTCTTGAAGGACGATATTCCGATCTAGGCGACGAAGGCACGCGTGATTCCGCAAAAGGAGAGTCGGAATTTGTAACAGGACATGGAGACGTAACAACAAACGGACTATTACCCCGACGATTAACTCTCTTAGCCCGAGAACTAATAGCAGCGGCCTTGCGCTGTTTCTTAGTAGTGGGAGACAGCTGGGAGTCGTTCCAGGCTATGAAACCAGCTTCGGGATCCGAGCTTTGCCTTGAAGAGGCAGGACTACTAGAACTAGGTAAATCACTACTGAGGTAAGGAGCAAGTGGCCTTAGGCTCTGCTCTACGTGGGGAGCATCATTCTTTCTCTTTAGTGGCCTACTAAGTCTTGTAGTGCGAACGACTGGTTTCTTGTAAGACCTTTACTTCTCCCGACACGCCACGCATTGAAGTAACTGTCTAGCACCTTTCATAAACTCAACAAGAGGCTTTTGAAAACCGCAACCGACACACTCCACTTCAGTCGTCGCCATAACATATGAAAAGTAAGGGAATAGAGCGGCAATAAGAGGCGTTGTAAATGGAGGGAAATACCACACGTAATACCGGACGTAAAGTGGGCCGGAGCAAAGATTTAGGAGTGCAGCCTGAGGCAAGAAGTAAGGAGGATACAGCCAATAACCAGTCACAGAGAGGCTGCTTATGTCATTGGAAAACATTATTGACCAATCAGAGAGCCAGGAAAAACGCTTGGCAAAAGTTGAAAATTTGACCCCCTCTGCCACCCAAAATCCGGCATTCAACCTGCCTCACGTGCGGGCGCGAGAATTTAGTAGAACTAACGTTCAATCATATGCAACAAACAGAATATTAACAGAGCAAAAACAAAGTTCACAAAATCAATTTTGAAAATTTCCGAAAAAATAGGACACTTCCTACATTAAAGACGAAACCACCGGTAGAGCAACGAGTTGCACAGTCACCAGCCTAGTTGGCATCTGAATAGCCCTGAAGTGTCTTGAGGTTACTGCTATAGACCAGCTTATATTCTTGAGTCAAGTAAAGGTAGCAAAGAATTCTCCTAGCGGCTTGCAAATGCTGAACTATCAGATTAGAGGCGAAACGGCTGACCATCGAAACAGAGAAGGCGATGTCTGGTCGAGAGCCTAACATAGCGTACATCAAAGAACCGATGATTTGCTGATATTCTTTGATCATATGCGGGTTGGCCCTGTAGTCTTCGTCCTCAGCGGTTTTAAGATTTGAATTGCCGGCTTCTATTGGTGTCAACATGTTCTGTGCTTCGTGCTATCCGAATTAGTGGACAATTTTGCGAATATATGATCTCTATCTGAGACAAAGAGTGCGATTTTGTCTGTCTCTAGTGACAGTCATGCCGAGGGTCATGCCGAGGTAGAAAGCCACAGCACCTAAGGCGGACATCTGAAACCGAGCAATTAAGGCCGCTTTAATATCATCTATCTCAGACCGGTCTTGTCCAGTGATTAAGAGGTCGTCGACGTAGATAGCAATAATAACCCCGTCCTTGCAGAAAACACTATAGTCGGAATTAAGTAGTTCAAAGCCATAGGTCTGCAGAAAATCTGCTAGTGTCTTGTACCAGACTCGCGGTGCTTGTTTAAGACCGTAGAGAGCGCGGTCGAGTTTGCAAATCTTATCCGTGCCATCTTCGAGCCTAGTAGGCTGTTGGTATAATAGCTGTCACGTTCTGAGTCACGTGATCGCGCACAGACTACATCTCATGTATATAAGGGGAACCTCCCTTTTACCCCTTAGGACAACACACAGAATACAATATACATTGGAAAACCCCCTTATAAGGCCGGCCCTTCTGTGTCAATTTACCCGATAAACCGACATAGGCTGTTCCATATACACTGTTTCCTCGACAGTGCTGTAAAGAAAAGCTGTTTTGACGTCCATTTGGTCGATTTCCCAGTCAAGAGCAGCAGCAATAGCAAAGATAAGCTTGTAGCTCATAGGCTTGACTACTGTAGCAAAGGTTTCGGCGTAATCAATCCCCTCCTTCTGCTGGTCTCCACAGACTACCCAACGAGACTTCCAACAGATGATGTTACCCTTAGGTCCGCGCTTGTGTTTGTAAACCCATCGGCTGTGATGGACTGATCACGATAGGCTGATCACGGGGGCGAGGCTGACGTCGCAAGGCTGCGAGGCCAGAGTCATACGGCAAACCTAGGACTAGCCTAGTTTGCTAGCAGCCGTATCTCTCCTACTTATTCTTAAGGCTCCTTAGGAACCTCTTCCTCTTGCTGTCTTTTCTACTTTGTATTGTAGCTACCAATGGACTTTCGTTGTGCCGTCACAACAACCCGTACAGCGAAGAAGGAGAGCTCTCATTTCGTCTCAAAGATCTCGCGTTTTAGAAATATCGGCATTAAAGGTATGACTATCTCACAATACCCTAAATCAGCACATTTTCCCTCCGCACCTCCATCTACATCTTCCCGAAGCCAAAAAGCCTAGGCGGTCGAGTCATCATCGTCCTAACTCTAATCACGCACGCTAAGTATCGCCTTGGGAGTCAAAGTTAATCCACTCAAATCTACTCGTATTTTCTAAGATCTGACAAGCTGTTGGGTGGGGACTGGAACGCGAATGCTGGCAGCATTGTCAGACTGCTCGTGTATAGCCCAGGCAATCTGGCCACTGGAATTTGAGCTAGGCAGATTGGAAGAGACAGTCCAGTTTGGAGACCATTTAGTATGAGATTCACAACTGCGGTTCAAGCGAGGTAAATATTTACATCCTTCTGGAATGCAGACCAAATATTCCAAAGTGATTCCATCCTAGCACGTCAATCGCGGGCTCGACATAATAGACAAGTTGTGAAAAAAAGTGTTAGTATCGTACCGGTGAATAAATAACAAGTGTATATCGATATATATCAAAATTCAAGGCTCAATTCAAAGGTGGTTAAAATTTTGTATTCCAAAGACTATCTAAGGGTCAGAATATATACCACTTCCCGAATAGCCCCGGATTCGCCTCCGAGAGGGGTCCGTCTCCTAACTAGGATTGCCTGTCCCCCTGATTGCCCCCTACATCTCCACTGTATAGGTCTGCGGACCAACATATACATCTAGATTCAATCTAGATTCAATCTATAGCTTAGAAGGCTTTGAATCACGCGCAACAACTACTTGAATGAGTCCATTAGGTCCAGATTGTGGCGCGTAAACCTCAGCATCCTTCCCAGTATTCTTAGTACCCTTATGCCATGCCAAGTCTATAGCAGTTGTTAGCTGATTCTGGCAGAATCTAGGGAACAGATGATGTAGAACATACCAATTTCAAAGTAATGCTTATTCGGGAGCTTATACTCGACTGTCCCGACTTCTGGAACAGCCGCTAGAATGCTTTCGCACATCTTGTACATGGTGTTCTGAACCGACGGGCTGTTCTCCTCGGCGAAAGTCTTCATAGTGATAGACCTAGCATCCGACCACGCCTGGTCGAACTTAGGGGTCGCAGCAGTCACTGCGCTTATCCCAGGGAATGTCTTCCATGCCCATGTCGCGTCGACATCCGTCGATAGGATCCTGTCCCAAACTTCTGGAAGTGTGGTGTATTCGTCGCGCACGAAGCCGTGGAATGCGGAGCCAGTGCTCTTCAGCACAAGCAGACCAACAATACTACTGCGAATGTCTATTCCTTTGCCCTTCTTAATAACTGCCTCGACGTTTCGTGTCTCGTTTCCGTCGCGGTAGAAGGAGTGAGGGTGTGGCTTGCCGTCGATCGTCATTCGTGTCCACCGGTGTGTGACAACGCTGACATTGGCAGTTGTGATGTGGGCATACTTCTCGATGAAATGGGTCCCGAGAATGCTAGCGAAAAGCTCGGGAGGAGTGACTGGGTTCTCCTTTGCCTTGATATATATGGTGTTCTTGATCGAATCTGTTGCGACGACTACGCTGTTATCGGCATTGGTATACCTAGAATTCTGTCAATGTTTGAAGTGAAAGTATAAGAAAGGAATGTGCGTACGATGTATCAATAGCACCCTCTAAGAGTACGCAGACAGTCATCTCAATGACCGTTTGGACGCCAGTACTCTGGTCTTTCTCGACCTTGTACACGCGGACATTGTCCTTGCCATATCGTGCGGACAAGATCACAGCAGACATTGTGTAGGTGATAGCGATTAATACTTTGAGTGACAAAACCTATGAACAGTCTGGAGGAAAATTAGGAAAGAGAGTAGCCCTGCCTGTCTAGGAGATATGAAAATGAGTAGAGCCAGACGAGGGGAAGCTCGATACTAAAGTAGTAAGAGCCAGCTTTAAGCTCTTATCAGGACGGCCTGACCAGGGCGCCGCGGGTTGGGCCGACCGATAGTTAAAAGCAAATCTTTGGCTATCACAGCCAGAGCATGATTCTCAATAATAGCTTACTATGAAATCTGGAGGCAGCTGCCCGTGTTGCTGCCCTATTATTGGTCTCGGTGTTATGATAGTCGTGAGGCTAGAAGGGCTTATCGGCGCTCTCCGACATACTCTGCGCTTCTCGCCTTGTTCAAATTTATCTTCAGTTAGTGGACATTCGTGCTTTGATCTCAAGACTCTAGAATTTTAATAGCCCTAAATAAGTAGTCAGAGAGCTATGAGATATCTGATCTGTTAAGATAATTGTTTGAATAGACTTCGAGTTTCAGTAAACCACAGTGAGGCTAGGTAGTAGCCTTGCTAGCGATAGGCCTGAGGAATCACGAGTCTCTCGGCGATTTCTAGGATGGCTGGCAGGCAACGAATTAGGAAGTCTTAGTCTCACAAGGCTGAGTTTGCAACAACGGGATCTAAAAATTCAAATCTACTCATGGGCCAGGACAATGGACGAACGATGGGCAAAGAAATCTAGATGTTGACACAGAAGCACGTCAGGGTTCATACAGGAACCGGAATGGAAAATGCTGTTTCCAAACATCCAAAAGTAGCAGTCTGATTAGTGGCATCGAAACAGATCCCAGTTCTGTCTTCCTATCCCACCATCTACACCCAAGACGCCTATTAACATAGAAATATACACGGACCAGAATCCCCTCACGACGAGCTATCCTCTGGCAACTTATCAATAACCCCCTTGACGATCTCAATCAACTCATTCACATCCGGCCTCTCCGACGGCTCAACCTTCAAGCACTTGCGGACCACCTCCCTGATACTCTCGCTGATCTCGCTATCTTCGCTCTGGCCCGGTTGATTCACGGCCTTCTTCTTGCCTCCTGCGCCTTCGTCTGGGAACCTCCAGTCTCCTCCTAGTACGCAGAGGCTTAGACTCCCTCCTGTCTCGTCGCTGCGCATTTCGAATGGTGATTTGCCCACTAAGCAGGCGTATAATGTGCATCCCAGTGACCAGATATCGACCTTGGTATCTACTGTGCTCCCTGTCTTGACGTCGAATAGTTCCGGTGCGCGGTATGGCATCGTTGAATGTTCGGCTGCTTGATCTTGTACGGCTAGAGCCATGGATCTTGATGTGATAGGGGTGGGGGATGTTGCTAATGATCCGAGATCCATAAGAATTGGTTGTTCACCATCGTCGTCAATCATGATGTTCCCTGGTATTCGTTAGTTCCGTAGAGGACTTGACGCAGAGATGCTTACCTGGCTTAATATCTCTATGCGCATACGCTCTGATCTCCCCTGGCGCCATACCCTCTTGACTCTGCGTCACCTCATTTTCCATCAACGGTTCCTGCTGTTCGCTTTCATGGTCCACCTCTCTACCCTTCTGCCTTCCTCTCCTCTGCTCATTCTCTTCCGCCGCGTCCTGATCCGCCTGTGCCGCCTCCCCTCTAATCTTCTTCGCTTTCCTCTGACTACCAGCTCCACCAGCTCCCTGCCCAACCTTATAATTATGCATCGCCGTCAAAGCTTCACAAACGCCCAGAAAGAGCACCATCAGCCTCCTCTCGGGGAACTTCGTATGATTGACCAGATTCGCATTGATTATATCCTGCAGATTTCCCCGACGGTAGTATGGTAGGAGGATGTATACAGTCTTCGCGCCGGGGTCTGATCGATCAGAGGAGACGCAGTAATCGACACTCCGGATGATATTTGGATGTAGAGCAAACAGCGCATATGCCTCGACCTCTTTCATCGCCAGCGCAACGGATTCTTGGCCAAAGGGACATCGGATCTTCTTCAGCGCATATAGTGCTTCATTGCTGGTATCTTGGACGAGGTAGACGTAGGAGAATCCTCCCTGGAAGGTGGTCAGCGGGTGCTTGGGTAGCTGGTTGGGTTTCCTACCTCTCCTAGTAATCGCAGGATCTTGAAGCTTCGGTTGTTGATCTTGAGCTGAGGAGAGCCGGGGAAACAGCTCATGCAGTTGGTGAGGGTGTACACCAGGTCCAGGAAGTATTGTGCCATTGCGAGATGTTGGGGGAGATGTGTCGTTCTGGGCGCAAGCTCAGGGAGCTATCGTTTGGGCTTGGATGGGTTCTCTGGATGCGAATTTCGGACTGGAAAGTGATAATTGGAACTGGATTGGATTCACGTGAGCCAGCTGCATTATGCATGTGACTTTCCATTAATCGTGGGATCGGAGACCACCACCTTCCGGCAAAGCTGCTGGAGGTCCCACGATTATGTTGTCTCGCTATCACTTTGAGGAGATGAAGCATAACAGGTGCAAGACATTTGTTGACATTCCACTTGTCATGTTGTTAGCAGGTTCGAATGAGGCCTGCTGAGTCATTAGCTGGCTTACTGCCCCATAACGCAATGCCAGCGCGCTCTAACACAAGAGGAATCAAGTCCTCGAGCACTCCTTGAACACCGTGTTACACATTGATTAAAGAGTTGCCGTCTGAAACACGTCCAGTTAACTGTTCAGGTGTGTTCATCCTTACGTATTTCTTGCCTAATATGCCGCAGACCACCTCGTTTAAGCGGTGGAAAGCATACCTGGAACTGCACCACGATGCTGACTTCTGCCAACCGAAGGGCCGATTTGAGAGACGGACTTTTGTTTGCTTGACAAGGATGATCGCGGATCTACACTCTATACAATGTACATCTCAAGTGAGACAAATTGGTAGATTTGTCAGTCAGTGACATACGAGACTTCCCGAACTACTTTCCCTCATCAAGGCTCTGGACAACAAGATTCATTGCCGTGAAGAGAGGCAGTGGTGGCAACATCTCATGGATTTCTGGAGCCCGCAGGTTTTCCCCAGACCAATCTTGGATTTGCGCGTGCAAAGTTCAGTTGTGTCGCCACCAACAGCAGTGGTGCTTTTGAGGGGTTAATATACTTGTCATTGTGTTCTCATCTACAGGATCCAATGAATGCCATGACCAAATTGTGTCTTATACGACTCGCTCTCCCCTTTGACGATGGCCCGCTTCATCCGAGATTTCGTGACATGCGCAAAGTCAGTTGGGAGGAGAAACAGCTATGCACCCCGCAATCTAGTCAAGGGGTAAATTGGGAAGCAGTTCATTTGACCCTGGCACGGCACTTCAGATACTAAGTCTCGATTGGTTGGTGATCAAAACATCCAGAGCCAAGTCTTACTAGATAAAGTACATTATTATGGAGGGTGTGGGGTATGGCTGAACTACCAGCCGATCATCTGCGGGTGGTTTAAAGGACTCTAGGCAAAATAGCCTTGTTCTAACCGCACTCCTTCCTCATGCTTACATGCATTGTTCGGTTGCTCCATTTTGAGGTTCGTTTCAATTGTGATGATTAAGGATTGCTACTAAGCCTCGAATATCTTCCATTCTCCAACATTGAGCTTTGTCTTTGCCGCCTTAAACTGATATTGTGTCCAGAAACTCGTCTCTAAGCAAAGTACCTAGGTGACTCGCTCTCAGAACCCTCTGCTATTACATGTACTTCCTCTGAGTTTTGAATCCATATTGAACGTACATTTGCGCCACCATTCATTTATCAGCCCGTTACTCTAGGTTGTTCTCAGCGATCCTCATTTGTCAGATGTCTAAAAGATCCTGCTATTAATGCTTGCAGTGTTCGGGCAGAAAGGATCGTTGATCCGTTCGTCGCGAAAGATACAGCGGAACATCTCACTTCCTCTTTAGATAAAGTTTCTTGTCCTAAGGGTCACAAGGACCAGAAAGTTATATATCCGTTACTATCGGCCCTGGCGTTCCTGATCCCGTTCAGCCAGTGGAATAAGTTTTCTTTCGCTAGCAAGGTATCCCTAGAGCTTTGAGTATAAGACGAGCCACTCCTCGGTTTTGTCATATCTTTTTCGGCGCCACTTCTTCATCACAACTTCTTCTTTACTTTCTTAAATCTACAAAAATGAAGTACTTTTTTGGTCTCGCTGCTTGTGCAGCGCTTGCTCTTGCAGTTCCAGCTCCTACGGAGACTATTGAGAAGAAGGACAACATCCAGGCCCGCGCTGCCTGTGCTTCCAAAGTCACACTTGCTGCTGGATCAAACCCATTCGCATCTCGCACACTTCATGCCAATTCAATCTACGCCGCCAAGGTTGCCGATGCTGTTGAAGCCATTAGCGATGAATCGTTAAAGAAGAAGGCTGCCGCCGTAGGAAAAGTTGGTACCTTCTTGTGGATGTGAGTATCTGTGAGAAGAAGGGAGAGCCATGCTAAGAGGTCTAGTGATACCATCTCTAGAATTTCCGTCGTTGCCCCGACTCTTGCAGAGACCCCGTGTGGTGAGATCGCTGGTCTCGTTATCTACGATCTCCCTGGACGTGACTGTGCTGCCAAAGCGTCCAACGGAGAGCTTGCGGTCGGAGAATTGTCCAGATACAAGACGGAGTACATCGACCGTATGAGTCATGATTTTACATTTCTCCCCGAACAAAACTGACGAGTCAATAGCAATCGTTGCTGCTATCAAGGCAGCTCCCAATGTTGCAATTGCACTAGTCATCGAGCCTGACTCCCTTCCAAACTTGGTTACCAACTCCAACTTGACAACATGCCAGGCTTCCGCCACAGGGTATAAGGAAGGTGTAGCATATGCCTTGAAGAACCTTAATCTTCCCAATGTTGCCATGTACATCGATGCTGGTCACGGTGGATGGCTCGGATGGGACGCCAACCTTAGTTTGTTATACTGTCCCGGCATACGTCTCGCATACTGACAATGGTCCTCCAGAGCCTGGTGCTGAGATGCTTGCTGGCGTCTACAAGAACGCCGGATCTCCTAAGCAAGTATTTGGTGTCGCCACTAACGTCGCGGGATGGAATGCATGGTCGATGAAGCCCGGAGAATTCGAGAGTGCCGCTGACGCCAAATATAACAAGTGCCAGGACGAGAAGCGCTATATCGCGGCATTCAGCCCTGCCCTTAAGACCGCAGGTATGCCCAACCACGCCATCATCGACACTGGCCGCAACGCCGTTCAAGGCCTGCGTCTCGAGTGGGGTGACTGGTGCAATGTCAATGGTGCTGGCTTCGGTGTCCGACCTACCTCGTCCACGGGTGACTCTCTTGTCGATGCATTCGTGTGGGTCAAGCCTGGTGGAGAGTCCGATGGTGTCAGCGATCCCAGTGCTCCCCGTTACGACTCGTTCTGTGGTCATGCCGATGCTTTCACTCCTGCTCCGCAAGCTGGAGAGTGGAACCAGGCCTACTTTGAAATGTTGGTCCAAAACGCTAAGCCATCGTTCTAAATCATGCCATCATCTTGTACATATCAGATGGCAAAGCCACTCATTCCCTGGAGCGTACTGAAAATGTGGAGAAGTTCATTCGTTATGGTGAGATGGGTCTTTGGGTGAGAAATTGGTGGTTGTGAAAGGTTTATACTGTATATAGGCTATTCAATGCACATAGTTAATAAACCAAGCCGATTTCCACCAAAAATCCTCTGATAACCTCTCATAAGTGCTATCATCACATACCAAACCGCTCTGATCATCTATCCAAAAATAAATCAAAGTCACAGCTAGTAAGTACTTTCAGCCGCTGATAATGTTACCAAATTAGCAGCCATAATCATTAATCTAACTCCTCATTTCCTATACATCCATAGTGTGGCGGGCCACGACTCGAACACCCACACAAAAAGAGAGGTAGTAATTCAAGGACAAGGAGTACTTTGAAACAAAGGAGCGGATCGAGCAAATCTCGAGATATCACATATCTGAAGTACGGGATTTGTCAAATGAGGGGCGGAGAAGAGAATGAATTAGATAGAATCTCTCTAAAAAGTGTATTCATCGTGATAATTCCAAAATAGTATAGTGGTGATCGTGTTGTAAAGGAGTGATAGTTCAGAATCTCTAAATACCACCGCCCAGCTGCACTGGCACTACGGTGGCAACGGCTCTCCATTCCAATGGAAATATTCTCTATAAATATAGAGATATTTTATGGAAAATCTTTCCATGGGAACAGAGACTCGTCACCTATAATTATGGAGAATATTTCCATGATCATAGATTTCATGCCATACAAAATGAAACATGGAAGTATCCATAAATCCATAATCCATAATTATGGATTTTCCTCCATTTTGATACATTTAGTTCTATAGATAATATTTACAGTTTCCTACTACCTACTTACTTCCCCACCTTTAGACCTTCCCACCTTCAGACCTTCCCACCTTCAGACCTTCCTACTTTCGGACCTTCAGACCTTTTTCCCTCCTTACCTACTGTGAGAGACCTACTGTAAAGAGACCTACCGTGGAGAGAGACCTACCGTGGAGAGAGACCTACTATGGAGAGAGATAAAAAGAGAAGGAAAAGGGAGGGGGGGAAGAAGGGGGATCATATGGAAGGATTAAAGTTTAAGTATGAAACACGCTTTAACAGAGAAAGTAGGTTCCATAGGTATAGAAAGAATCTCCATAAGGATAGAGATTATCCTTAGGTATAGAAATAATATCCATAGTTATGGAAGAATCCCCATAGGGATAGAGATTCTGTCCATGCCAATAGAGAGTCTTTCCATGCTAATGGAGCTGTTGCCACCGTAGTGTGGTAACGTAACTTCCCCCCACTACGCCAAGCACCAAAATCAGGTGGCCCTGCCACAATACACCTAGCCTGGGTGCTGAAAGAGCTTGATAAGGAACTTGAACATTTGTTTGGGCTATATCGTCCTACCAGTAAATACAAGTTGGGGGCGACTCTGTCTTTCGAGTACGTACATATATATATATATATTTAAGGTACAATGTCTAAGCTAGTCATACATCTACATTTTCTTTTAATTATACAAACTTTCCTTTTTACAAATCCCTACCTACCTTCGCGTATACCCAATCTTCTTATTTTCCCCTTTGTCCCCCTCTTCTTTGCGCTCTTCTTATCCTTTTGTCCACTTCCATGTTGATTGCCAGTTCTCTTCTTAGTCCTGTAATCCTTTTTCAGGCCTAACTCATCTTCTATCTTCAACCTGAGTCGCTTCTCATCAATCGATTCTTCATCACCCACATAGTTACGCGGCCGTTTCCCCCGGTCCTCACCTGCACTCGCTCTTGCAGCTGCCATCCTCTCCATTTCTACCTCCACCAAAGAGTTCCTCTCTATCCCCTCCCTTACTCTTTTCTCTAGCCTCACGGCTCTCTTCTCCCTTGATCTCCTCATCCTCTCCTCATGGGCTTCCCTCTTTTTTCTCTCTTTCGCTAGCGCCTTGTTTTGGATATCTATTATCGCTCTCTGTCGTATGTCACTCGCCTCTAGGTATCTTTCCCGCTCCTCGGCTGTCATAGCAAGCGCAAAGCCTTTCATGCCACGCGGAGCCACATTTGCTATCCTCAGCGAGACATCCATCTTGACGTCCTGCTTGCGCCGCAACATCTCTCTCTCTTTGTCCGTCGTGACAGATGCTAGCATCCGCTCCTTCTTGCGCTCTTTCTTGAGCAAGAACTTCACTCTCCGCTCGATCTTGGCGGCCTCTTTCTTGCGTTTCTTGCGCTCTCTCCTGCTGTCAAGGCGAAGTACGGAAGGCGCTTGTGTTTCTCGAGTCTGGGACTCTTGGAAAGGGGTATGTTCAGGACGAAGAGTTCTTCCAGGTTCGGACGTGGGGTGAGTAGGCGGCGGCGCTTGGTACTGGTCTGGTGAGCGGGGAGGTGGGGATTCGAGGCTCATTTTTCCGGCGAAATGGTACCGGATCATTTCGTTGTCTGCTGTGGCTGCGAGATGGTATCGTATTACTGCCCCAGCGTCATGCTTCCAGGACTTCACAACAGGTCTTTTAGAGATAGGCTGTTCTAGTTCCCGGTCCACTTCGTCGATCTCGGTGGGTAGCTGGATTCCTGAATTCATAGGGAAGCTGGCTAATGGGATATCAATCGTGGGAGGAGAAGAAAAAGTCGAAAGATTAGTGGTAGATGAGATGATCGTTGATTTGGCGTTCGAAGTGTTGTCTTCTTCAGATCTTGAGTCTTGGGAGGGACTAGTGGTAGAAGCGATCGGTTTTACCGGACGCATAGGTTGAAGTGGTTTATAAGTAACTAGGTTCTCGACTTCTTTCGCGGTCTCTTGCACCTCTGTTTGCCTTTGTTCCTCGGGATCTTGATGCACGGAAGTGGAAGGCGGTACAACATCATGTCTCCTGCAGGAGAGACGCTTTGATCGGACTTCCGTTGCGCTTAGAGCAGACGAGGACGTGTCTGATATTATAGGATCAGTGGCTTTGGTAGTCGAAGGAACCGAGGTGAACCCCGAAGCAGATGCAGTACCTTCCAACTGAGACCTTCCAAGAACAACACTACCAATTGAGCCAGATTCTGATTGTGGACGTCCACTTTGTATCAAAATGCGACTAGACAGTTTCTTCAACGATTGTGAATACCCAGCCTGAGAAGGGATATATGTCCTCGATTTTGACTCTAGTTCCGTGGGAATAGCTTCTGGTTTAGATAGCGATTCCGGTGTGGTAGGATGGGCTATGGATGTCGGTGGTTTGAAATGACGATAAGGGTTCGATAGCTGGGTACTTAACAAATCTCGAAACTTCTGAACTGCTGGGGATATAGCCCTGGTGGAGCCTTGGCGAGTTGCTCGTGATGAGTGAGCTATCCTTTTTCTGACCAATTCTGAGCGTGAGAGGGATGTGGAATGCGTCAGTTCTTCTAGACCAGGATCGAACTCATTAGTGAGAAGGGGAATATCAGAAGCCTGAGCTTTTGTTGAAAGCGTATTCGGAGTGTTTGCCAAAAGAGAGGTCGAATCGGCGTCCGAGTTGTCCCCACGAATAGACAGCGTATTCAGTTGGCTTAGTGACTGACGAACTAAAGATTCGTCCTTCTTTTTTTGTTGATATTTTGTCCCATTCGACACATCGTCTTCAGCCTTTAGCACCACCTTTGGAGGGCTGGGTTGTTGAGTTTTTAGCATACGATTCTCCGGTGGCTCGTTGGTCTGCGGATTGGCCCCTATGCTTGTCCATGGAGCACCAACATCCATTCTGCTTCGCTTCTGGTAATCTGCTTTCCGACTTTTTTCTGACTTTCTTTCCTTTGAATGTGACAACTGGATTGAATGGTCTGAGTTTTTCTTGAAACTTTCAAATCTGGCAGAGGGTTTTGGGAATAGTTCTGTCCGTGTTCGGGAATGATCTAGGCTGTCAATGTCAATATCAGCTATTGAAATCTTATTCGTTCGTTGTCCATACATGAGAGATTCCCGGATAGATTTAATATGGCCTCCACTTTTACGCTGCTCTTTGGTGAAGCGAACTTTGGTTTGCAGCCCTTTGCGAACCACGCTATCATGGACAGCCAATGCGGCAACGAGCATCTCATCGTCCCGACAATCTTCATTATGAAGTTCCTCTGTCTTCGCCAGATTTGTAACCACATCCGATTGCAGGTGGTCCTGATCGATGTCGAATACATTCAAAGGATTTCTGCCCTTGATCAGGCTTTTCCGCTCAACAGAATCCCTCTGCTTTTTGACAGCTTTTTGCCTTTTCCTCTCATCCTGTTCGGCGCGAAGTGCAAGTCTTCTCTCTCGCCTGGGCGGTCGTTTCTCTGGCCGTAGCCTGAGCTCTTCTTGCCCCGAGTCATTACCGGCTACCTGTACTTTCAGAGGCGGAACTCGAAATTGGTCGTGAAGTGCCTGCGATTCTTGTGCGTTCGGAAAATCCTCCACGCTTCCGCTTCCAAAACTGGCAGGGAGTATAGAGGTTTCAACCACAACTTCCTGTGGTGTCTCACTCTCATCTCGACTTGCCCTACCCAAATGTGCCAACCTCCAATCCCTTTTAATTGTACCGAAGTGATCGGAGTAGGCTAAACGGGGTTCTTGATAGCTCCTAGAGCCAGAAGATTGACGTTCCCGTTGATCTAGGTAGGAACCTCTATGATCCTGTAAAGCGCCATGGGTGGTTTCCGTGGTCGTAACATTTTCGATAGGCATATCATCTCTGGTTCGCGAAGTATGATCACGTGGATAGTTGTGCTTCTCCTCTGTAGTGAAGTTCCGGTCATGTTTGGGGACGTGTCGGCTGGTCAGCTGAATCGCCCAGAATCCTTCATTGTGACATCTGAGGGACGTGGGAAATATGAGTCTGGTGGTAGTTCTAGTCGCGGTCCTGGGCCCTTTAAACGGCCAGGGCCTTATCATCATCAAGCTAACAAACGATTAGTTCTGGTACACTTCAGATGACACAGGGCTTAATATGCTCACTTGAAGCCTCTAAGTACTAGTAAGGGCCGGGATGAAGGGAGTGAGTATTAGGTCTGAGACAGGAGAAAGAAGTACACGGGTGTAGATTGTAGTTTTTCAGAGGCGTGCATAGTTGATAAGACACACTGGCTTTTCTGTAATACGAAAGCGAGAGCTGTTGCAGACTCCCGCTTTTCATATGACAGAACGTAATGTAGAGAGAAAGCTACCAGAATCGTGATGTCTAATAGGGTGCGGAAAGTTTTGAGGGGCCCCTTTGAGTGATGAGTCAGCATCTCCTTCAGTTTAAAGTGCCCTAAGGGGCTAGCTGTGATGAGCCGGCTGTAGTGCCTTAGTGCCTCAGGCTAACACCCCCTATTTGAGTGTACTTCAGGTAGAAACCTTCTGGTTCCGCACCTTGATATTCTAAGAATATGAACCACACCTCTGCCTTGGTTCGTGTCACAAATACTTTTAATAGTAACGTTGTTTATACTATTAGCTTATAAACTAATTAGTACTCGCTGATTCTAGTATTTGGATCAAAAAGCTCTCCTATATAAGTGTTATCATGGATTCAAGGTGACGTAATTCGTAGGTTCCATCTTGAACAGGAACCCTGTTCAAGTCATCAGTATACACGAAACCATTCTCTAGGAAGAGACCGACTACTCTTGCAACTTCAATAACAGCCTTGATATTATCAAAAGAAGGCCCTATAGCAACACGAAAGCTGTCCCAGAACAAGCTCCGGAGCGCCTGGTGGTTAGGGTGGTACTTGAAGGGGCCTTTGCTTGACCGGGTCGCGAGCATAGCCTCAAGGGACCAGAGCGACGTCCCAAACGGACCAATGGTGGTATCTTTCCAGTCGCAGATGCCTTTGATTTCACCTGTCAAAGGGTCCACGTGTATGTTATTTTCTCGGAGGTCAGTGTGGTGGGGTACTAGCGGCCAGTCGCTGGTAAAGAGCTTTGGGAGTTCAGAGATCAGGTAATCTACCGTTTTGCGGAAGCGATCCGGCAGCCCCTGGGAGAGCTGCTTGAGTTTCGACAAGTAGTCATCATAGAGGCTGTGGCGGCTTGGGCACCACACCGGGCTCAGCTTGTTATGCCATGCTAAGGCAAAGAATCTGTATTGGAAAAATTAGCTGCACGGTTCTTTTGACGTGGGAGGCATCTACAGACCTAGCATAGTCCCGCAGACTTTGTTGTAGGAGGTAGCCATTGTCTCTGTGTAACTGTACCAGAGAAAGATACACGCAGTCCCCACCAACAGTACTTATCGTACACACTTGGAGGTAGCCTAGGGTTCCAGCCTGCTCGTGGTGTGGCATAAAGCGCTTGTAGACTTGTTCTACACATTCAAGGAGTTTGAGATCTAAGGCGCCTTCGTTATTGCGAAACTGGACGACAAATCCCCTGGTATCATTGTCAGCTATGACAGTGTAGCTAGTTGAGCCTTGCACAGGTGTTGGGTGGACAGGCTGGCCGATGAGTTGTTCAGCCATTTGGTTGCACTCTTCCTGCGTCGTACCAGTGTCTGCAGAAAAGAAGTCCTCTATCTGTTTCGCTGAAAGCGCCGAAATGCTAGCCGTCAAGTTGCTCATTGTGCGTGGGTTATTGCCGGTCTTGGGGTGAGAGGAGTTGCTCTTGTGAGACGACCTGAGATACTGGTGCCAGCACGTGCTTAGCAAATAAAGTCAAAGTAAAGGAAGGTTTCCAGGGCGAATGGTACAGAGGCGCATGCGCTTTAGGATTTTGGTGTAGTTAAGAGCGCACCTGCGCAAAGGGGTGCGCTGGGGGTAAAACGTGATTTGGGGTGCGCAAGTCTAATCAAACGTGATTGGGTACGCTTCTTAACCTGCACTTTACTTAGGAAATTGTACCTGAGTGACACGACTACCTTAGAGGAAAGTGCTGCCCTACTTAGAGTCCCTAGACAGTAAAGTAACTTAACTGTCGACTATCCCCTAAGTGCGATTCGCCGCACAACCTAAAGACCTCTCTAACAGTTACTACGAGTAGTAGTGAAGTATCAAAGCGAAGCGTTTGCAGCCCCTGATTCGGGCGGATGGTTCCCGCCAGATGGGTCTTTTAAGCGGCTGACCAAGTCATGACTTTGACGGTTCAGATATGAGATATGAGATATGAGCACAATAATAATCCCCGTTCGTCTGAACTCTTCTGATACTAAATGATGTATTGATATTGGTACTCTTATGATCTCCATACTCCACCATGATTATAAGGGGTTCGAACATCGAAGGAGACTGATACTGTCCCACGGTCCCTCTGCCAAGCGGCTTGTCCACACCTTCCTTTCCTCTTCCCGCGATTAACGCACACAACATCCGGAACTCTAACGGCGACAAGCAAGCAGCAGCAGCAACAATGATTGATTCCATCCATATCAAGCACATCCAATACATTCTCCCATAATCCATGCGACTCGCCCTCGCCTCGTCTCGCCTCGCCTGCACTCCTGGAATTGCTGACGTGGCCCACGACGCACGATGAAGAAACCGGGCGTGCATCCACAGCGCCTCTATCGATATGCTGCTCTGCGTCGCGTCCTGACGCGCCGTTGGACAAGACCAGCCGCACAGCTAGTTAAATTCGACACTCGAGGCAGGACGGGCATTGCCACAAGTCATCCTGGGGAATCTGGAGATGTCGGAGAATTGCGTAAGTAAATCGGTTCTTCTTACCATATTATGCATTGTGATGCACGCCGGCGACGATATCGATATCATGTCAGGTTATCCTATCCTCGATCCCGTCTTGCCACGAGGGCCACATCTCCGGCCGCATCTCGGTTCATACACCCCAGATTTGAACGCAAGTTAGAATTAAATTATCTAGAAGTCTAGATTCCTTCTCCCGACGGACCAAATGGGTCTCTTGCAGTTCGCGCGGGATATAACCGTATCCAAGAGAACCTTGGAACGCAAGCCGGCCATGGGCCTATATCACGTGCAAACCAGGTGTTTTGCAGACACGTGCAGCCGTGCAGCCGTGCTAGCGGCCAATTGCCAGAACACCTCGCTAACAACCCTCCAGGAGATTCACAACACCCTTCCAGAAGAAGAAATTATCAATCACGATCACAGAGAGAACCTGAAGATGAAACTCCACTGTCCCGGAAAATGATAGAGGCAGCCGCCACTGCCTTTGCTAGTATCGTCGTCCTCGGAGCAGGCTTTGGTATCGGCGGGTACATGTACCATAAATTCTACAAATGGCTAGTCCTCCACAAGATGGAAGGGGCATTTAAACCCGGAGATCCAGTCTTAGATCTCGCTGCAATCGGCAAACAGATTCCCAATTCCATCACATCACCTCCTCTCAGCAAAGAGACCGACGAACATTGGGTTTTACGAGACGAGCAAGCCAAAATCGATGCTATCGTCAATGGATCCGAAAAGGGCCACTATCACCTCCTGATCGGTGAGAAGGGTACCGGGAAATCAAGCATGTTACTGGACGCCATGCAGAAAATTGATGGCGAGGGATGTAGCATGTTCGAAGCACATGCAGACATGGAGATTTTCCGTGTGCGGCTAGGTAAAGCACTTGATTTCGAATTCCACGAAGACTACATCGGGTCATACTTCTCAGAACGTGGACCGAGAGAAAGCACACCTTTACTCGATATCGAGCGAGCCTTCAATAAACTAGAAAAAGTTGCGCTTAACAGGCGGAAAACTGTCGGTAGACCACTGATCGTGATCATCAACGCCGTCCACCTCCTCCGAGACGACGAAGACGGTCGGGACCTCCTTGAACTGCTTCAACAAAGAGCAGAGCAATGGGCAGCTAGCAATCTCGTCACCATGGTCTTCAACAGCGACGACTACTGGGTATACGAACGACTAAAGCAATTAGCCACCCGCATGGAAGTTACCTCCATCACAGACCTCCCCAAGAACCAAGCTATTTCCGCCCTCTCTAAATATAGACTCAAGTACTTCGGCGAGAAACCCAACAGCAGTATCTTAGAAGAAGTCTACGATCGCGTCGGCGGTCGTCTAACATTTCTCAATCGTGTAGCCAAGTCGAAAGACATGCTCGAGACATGTGACTCAATCATCGACACCGAAAGGCGGTGGTTTCTCAATCAATGCTGGATTCTGGGCATGGAAATGGACGACGATGTCATGGACCAGCAGAAATACGCCGTAAATTCTCTCCCCCACCTCCGTCTGCAAATTCCCCCACACAGAACAAAATAAAATCACTAACAAATCCGCCTAGTCCGCAGCAATGGTCCTCGCCCAAGCCCTCGTAGCCGCCGAAAAGTCCCAAACCTCACCTTACTCCCCCTCTGACGGCTCCCACCTCATCCCGCAAATCCCCCTACACAAAGCCCGGCAAATCATGACCCGCGCCGACTTCATAAAGGACTACGACCACATCAACCTCTTTACTATCACGTCCTCCGCATTCGTCCGCGCCGATTCTGTCCCAATGCAGAGAGCATTTAGAAGTATCTGTGAAGAGGAAGGCTTCGATGACTATCTCGAGGCGACGTTGCAGAGGATCAGCGATATCGAGAGTCTGGGACGTACGAGGGAGATTGTGGCGAAGGATCTTGTGTTGGGTGGGAAGTATAAGTTTTTGTTGAAGGATGGGGAGAGGAGGGGGGAGAAGGTGACGGAGGTTGTGTTGGAGCAGAAGGAGGAGGAGGAGGATAGTGATAGGGATGATGACAAGAAATAGTTGGGGGAAGGGGATTGAGGTGGTGATGGGTATTGTATGATTTTTGTATGTTAAGATGGGATAAGATGAGAAGAAACGAGTATGCATGTATGTATGTATTTATGTACAGTACAGCTAGACGACAGACAGATAGAGACACAAACGAAGATTTCCTTGCCTTAAAGCAGCTACTACCTTCCATCTAGACCTCGCCCATCGCCCAAATATTCCCTTGCCTACGTAGCTCAGTGAATCTGTCCTCTCTCAGCACCACTAAATCCTCGCTCATCAACAGTTATAAGAACACCTCCTACCCCTCAAACTTAAAACCTAACTCTCAAAATAAACGGGCTCGACTTCCTTCACGACTAGGCTTCCTGTAGTAAGCCATTCAGGCGCTCAGGGAACTTAGGAAGAAGAAAACACAATGTGTGTCAGGAGTAGCCAGTAGGCTACGCCTGATGCGGCTAGCGCACCCGCCCTAAGCGAGTCTTGGCGCTCCCCATATATTGTAAGGTTCCTTAAGAACCTCTTCGAACCTCGTTCGTCTTCTTCAATATATAGAGTATTACTAAGCTTGGATCCTTTGTCGTGACAGATACGGTACGTCGTAGGGAAGCTGATAATCGAGAGCTAGAGGAACGAGAATAGAAGCAGGAAGGAACTAAACGAAATTATAATTTTCTATCCTACTATACTAACGTCTAAGGAAGACTTCTTTTTAACCGGCCTCTTATTAATAAGCAACGTGCTCCTTGTTAGCTTACAAGTCACTAGTCTCTTCTCGACTTCTATAAGTAATAATCCCGGGGTAGCTTAGCCCTTTATATTAAGTAGATAAATAAAGCGATATCCTTGTTATAAACGATTAAGCTAGATATAAGCCTATATAGCTATATTATCTTTAATATATTATATATCCTTAATCTTAAATCTAAAATCAATAAGATTAATAGTTACTAAGATAAGGTAAAACTCACTTAATAAAACTTAACTCTTCTACTACCTTTCTTATTATTAGAAACTATAACATTAACCTCTGCTCTTTAAAACTTAGGTAGTTACTCTTTTAATATTCTATTTTTCTCTTCTTGATATATAATAGCTCTAACTTATTCTTCTACTTCTTCTTAATATATAGCTTATAGCGTATACAAAAATAGAAACTCTTAACGACTTAATCTTCTGGGATAAGGATATTATTAGTCCGCAGACTTATTATCGTGTACTGTAGGGAGGAGCTTCATATAGTATAAAAGTCTTGATTTATTAAGGTATTCTAGAGCTCCCCTATAAGGGGAAGCTCCAGGAGTTCTAGTTACATAAGTATCCTCTAGTTAGCTAGAGCGCCTTAGAGAGTGCCTTAGGTGCGCCAGGTGCATAACACACCCCCTCGCTTAGCTTTATAATAATAAGCGAAGCGACGTAAATAGTATAGATAATACTACCTGAACTATAATAGAAGTTAATACTAACTAATAGCGTTAGGTCTTAATCGCCTAGTGGCTCTAAGTATATAAAGTAAGTAGGTTCCCCTAAACGCTTTTTCCTTAAATAATAACTTCGACGTAATATTAGTAAATATAGCTAAAAGCTCCCGTGCTTCCCGTGCCTCACGCGCTTCTAATCTCGCCGCTACTCGCGTAATAAAGAAAAAGACTATAAGTTATTTATTTAAAGATTCCGACGTAATTAGCGTTATAAGGAATCGTTAGAACTACACTGATACCTTATAAAATAAGCCTATAGCCGCCGCACCTCCCCTGCCGCCGCCTCCCTACTACTACTACTATTACTACCACTACTACTACTATTACTACTACTACTAACTCCCGCCTGCTGCCCCGCTATAGCAGGGGCTATCCGTGCTATACTTTATAGCTACTATATTCACGGTAGTTTATAGGGTACGCCGAGCGACCCCTATCGCGACAAAGAGATAGCTTCGCGCTATTTTTATTATTATAAAAATAATAAATCAAGTTATATTACCGCCCCTGCCTGCGCTACTGAACTCTTCGCTAGCTACTTAGTAGCCCGGGCCCTCTTAGAGGGCACACGCGTAAGTATTTCCTTATATTATAGTATTAGAATAATAAAGTATTAAGGTATTAATATTAAAGTACTAAGCGAGGCTAACTCTATAATATATATAAGCTCTTATAGTCCGCTAGGCTACTATTCAGAAGGCCTTAGAAGCCGAGGAGAATAAGAATAAGAATAAGGATAAGATCTATACTACTATTTATAAGTTATAATAATAATCTTATAGATTTCAGATATTATCTAACTATTAATATCAGCCGCTACTCCTACCCCTGCCTCTGCTCTCCGTAGAGAGACCGCTATTCCCTCCCCCCCGCCTTATTTTTAGCGCTATAGGAATAGGCTCCGGCTCTATAGGAGCTACTATTATTACCCCCGCGGCGCGTTTAGCCTTACGTGCCTCTACTTTAGTAGAGGTTAATATTATAGCTAGCGCTACCCGGCAGTTAATTAACTTTCTCCTCCTTCCTTAGTAAGCGGTATAAGCTTTATAACCTTTAAGTAGCAGCTTAGGAATATTACTCCTTTATTATTATAATTCAAGCTAGCGTATTAGTACGACTTTATAACCTAGAAGTTGTAGCTTAGGATTAGGTCCTTTACACTTCACGTTATTTTAGCGCGGCTTTATAACCCCGAAGTAGTAGCTTAGGATCAGGTCCTATAATTCCACCTCTTCTCTCCTCTCTAATAGCGTTTAAGAACTATAAATATAAAGTAAAGAAAATATGATAAAAGAAAGTATCTATATAAACTATATAGCTTAAGCGAGCTTCTTAATATTAGCTCGAGAGTCTTAAAGGTTTAAAAGAGTAATAAATACTTTAAACTTCTGCCTTAATAGGTTTTTAGTTAAGCTGTCAGCTAGTATATTATTTATTAGGAGATATATTACCTGAAAACTCCCCTTTTTATACTTCTGTCGTAGCTATATATTCTGTATATCGATATACTAAAGCTTCGTCGAGATTCGCTAGTTCTCTTTAACTATTAGCTAAATTATCTGTTTATTATTATAGAATATATTCCACGGAGCTCCTATATTAAGCCTTAGCTCTTTAAAGAACCTTTAAAGCGTTATCACCTCCTTAGTAGTCTATTCTATACTAAGAAGCTCTGCCTCGGTCGTCGAAGTAGTAATAGTATCTTATTAGGAGGCTTTCTAAATAATAGCTCCTCTAAATAGTATAATTAGGAATCCTTAGGAGGAATAACGCGATTTAGCGTTATCTATAAAAGACACGTCTAAGGTAATAAGAAGGTATATCTCTCTATCCTTCTAACTATAGATAATAGCTAGGAATTTTAAGTTGAACAGATATTATATAGTCTAATTAACTGCCTCTAAGTGTAGCGCGCTTAAGTTAGTAAGGAAGTATAACAGTTAAGAGGCTATAAAAGTGATATCTAGCTAGAGTATAATAGCTATATATAGTACTAACTTAACCTTCTCTTAATATTCCTTAATTTACTTAAAAGTTACTATACTAAGGTTCTTAACTAGCTCGTAGTATAGGAGAGGCGTGCTAAAGCACTTCTTATCTACTATATCAAACTTCTGAGCTATCTTCTTAATATAGATATTATATAAGAGAGATACTATCTTCTTTTCCTTATTCCGTACTACTTGTACTCCTAAGAACTATTCCACGTCTCCTAAGACTATTAGCTCGTACGCCTCGTATAGTCTATCTATAATTATCTAGCCCTCTTCAGTGTATCTAATATAATATAAGACCTGAATATTATCCATGTAAAACGCTATAAAGATAGTCCTATACTAGTTTATAAAGATATATAGCTCCTTCGCGAGTAGAGATAAGTCTAGCTTACTAAGTATCTTTACAAAGTCGCTATACTAGAGTACAGGTAAGTCTCTTAAGCTATAAAGCGCTTAATTAATTTCCACTACTATTCCTAGTCTTTTCTAGCCTTCCGGAGGGAAATATAAGACTAAGGCGCTTCTCTTATCTCTCTTTACATTAATAAAGGCGTTAATTATATTAAACTACTTCACTTCCAAGTCGAATTAAGCCGCTAGTGCTATTATAACTCGGAATAACCTCGCTACGAGTATAGCCGCGTAAGTTAAGAATATTATAGAGTTATCTTATATATTACCTCGTACTATAATCCGAGACTTGTAACGCTTAAGCTATCTTATAGAATCTACCTTATAAGTAAATACCTACTTCAAGGGAATCGGTAAGGTAGCTACGTCTTCCTTAGGAATTAATCTCTAATAGTCTCGAGCTTCTAAGTTTAATATCTCCCTTTCCGCGTTAGCTTTAAACTACTTGCTATATAAGTAACTCTCTAGCTCTCTCTAGTTCTTAGGTAGCTTCGGGAGCTTCCCTTAATATTAGTTTTATAAGTTAGAAGCTCTTACCTCTACTCGGATATCTAATACAGCGCTTAAAACTACTATATGAAATATAATAGTATTATAGCTATTAGCTCGCGTTAGAGTCTTACTATAGAAGGTCGTAATAAACTCTTAGAGGCGCGAGTAGCTATCTTATCTTAAAGCTACTACTATAAAGTAATAGCCGTGTATAGTAAGCTTTTCACGTTCTCTCCAGGCTTCTTATATTACTTAGATTTGATCACGCTCTATTACTCGTTGCTATTAGTAGCTATTTCTAGCTACCTATAGAAACTTAGTCCCTATCGCTTTAAGAGGAGCTTCTAGAAGCTTAGTAACCTATTACTTAAGGTCTTATAGCTGTTAACTAGGTAATATAACTTAAGGGTATATTCGTTAGCGCGCCTCCTTAATACCTAGACCGGTATTATTACTACTTATAGCGTCCCTCTGGTACTAAGATAAGAGATAATTAGTTTTCATAGCTTTAGTATCTCTTAGGGTACCTTGACTTAACCTCTCGTAAGGAGTTAGATCTCTACTACTATTAGCGATATTATTATTATAAAAGACTATATTATTACTCTCTACCCCTGAGGTCTAACTCTTATAAGGGAGTAATTCGGAGGTCTAAGGGAGCTCTAGCGAGTCGACCTCTATTAGTTCTTATACCTCTAGTACTACCCCCGAGCTTTATAGAAGCTCTACCGGAGTAATATCTATTAGTTCTAGTACTTCCTTAGTAACTAGTATAGTAGTCTTAATACTAATATT